ATATTTATTTAAGAAATATTTTACTCTAAAATATTTAATTTACATGCAATTTAATAAGAAAAAAATTAAAGAAATTGAAATGTTTTTTTTTAAATCATAGCAATGAAAAGTAAAAAAACATTAAAAGTAATTTGAAAGATGTTTTTTTATTTTATTTATGTCATCAAAATAATGTGTCATCTGCATCATCTCATTTAAGCCAAGGCTGCAAAAAAAAAAGTAAGGGGTTAACTTGTATAAAAAGTAACAGGTCACCCAATGTTATTATGAGTAGATTTTTCAAAACATGATATTCAAGAAAAAGGTAATTTAAATGAACATTTTTGTAATAAAAAAATAGAAATATAATACTATAATAAAATAATTTATAAAAGTATGAAATAGATTTCATGTATATAATATAACATATAACATATTTTATGAAGAACAAGGAGGCCCATTGGGCCTAAATGGACATGGTAAAACGATAGAATGATCCATTGGGCCTTTTTAAATTAATGGGCTGGCCTAATATAAGGACTTTGGTTACAGCGACCAACGGCTCGGCACTCGGCAATCGGCAGTAGGCAACGACAACGATCATCGTGAAGTTGCAGAGGGCTTCGTCTAAAACACACACAGATAAAGGATGGTAAGAGAAGTATCCGAAAGCTGTATGGACAGCTTGTTAACGGAGATCGTATCGTCCTATTGCAATCGATTTTACGCCAATAAGCCAGAGCTTGCTGCTCGGAGAATTGAAGCCATTGGCTACCAGGTCGGCCACCAGCTCTCTGAAAGGTATGGAATTCATATAAGACATACGCGCATAAACTAAATTTAAGCTGAATTGATGTTGTTTAATTGAAATGAATTTAGTTAAGATTGTAGATCAATTTGTTTAGTCATGTGTTTGTAGTTGTTGAAGCATAATTGTATCTTGCGATCATAAATTGTTCGGTTATTTCTGCATCTAAGCCAGGTTTCTTCCAATTAAATTACCATGACAGTTATGGAAAAATGAATTATTTAGGATTTTATACTGTTGGATTTTATGGCCTGAATACCAGAGACACGTAATTTTCTATGTTTGGTGTGTATGTTTTTCTACCTTTTTCACGCTTTGCACTAGTCGGGAGTCTACACGGAAACAGCCCTCTATTCTCACATATAACCAAATTGAAGAATTGTAAGGTTAGTTTTTCTTTTGAAGATATGTTCCTGTTTATAAATATCAAGAATTATTCAAGGCTTTTACATATGTGTATTTAAATTATAGACAATCTATTATGGTTTGAACAAGCCCGGAAACAAAAGCTCTATGTACATCCCAAGTCCCAACCCCCCAAACCCTGTTTTCAAGCAGGATATGTGGGTTTGGTTTGGTTTGGTTTCTACCATCTATTATGTTTTGATATTTACATCGATATTATTAGTTATATTTACTATGATTTGTAAGTGTGACTTCCATATTTTGTTACAAAGGCTGGACACCAACTCAAAAAAATAAGCATTTCCTATTCAAGAATCCAAAACTTGTCATCTGTATATGCAGTTCAGATTCAAGGACTGAGTTCCTTTGGCCATGTCTCCTATCTTAGAATTTGGGGAAAAGGGACTTTTTGTGAATGTCTGTTGAAACTAAGCAAGTTATTTAAATCTTTGTTATCTTGCATCTATCTCCACATCATTCATTAATCATTATTTGATTTCTAAAAGTAAAGGCAAAATATACATGCTAGTAGTGAAGTGATGTTACCTTTTTCAGCACGGAATTTGTTGCTTTATCCATTTACTTTGTACAACAGATTGCTCACACATATTTTTCTCTGAAATTCCTTGTTGGGGTCTTAACTGGGCAATGAAATGCAAACTGCTCTAAACAGGATTTTGTTGTTTAATCGGAATTTGATTTATGCGCTTGCCCTGCCTTCTAGCACTACCTAAACTTGACATGCATAGCAAATGTTAGTGGATGTAGGTCCCCTTCCGCTCTCCTATCATTCGTTATGTCATTTTCATTGATTCCATGCCTACATACAGACCAAACACGTTGAAAAATGTTTGTACTTTGTATTTCCTGGACTTAAAGTGTGAGTTACTTGCCTCATTGCCTCCCATTCTTAACATGAGATTATGACCTTTCTTCTTTCATATCTGCCATATCGTATTTGTTAAAAAAAACTGTTGCTGACATCCTATAATGGCCTACGGTAGACACATATAAAAGATGGTTTCACAACAGATTAGTATCTAGCTACTTATTTGTATGTTAGGAATCAAGAGATATCTCCAATATAGTTTTACTTTCTAAACCATTGTGGATGGGAAATTGCTGAGTTATGATTCTGATTAGGTACACAATTGAGCGGCCACGGTTTACTGATCACCTGGAGGCGATCAAGTTTATCTGCAAAGATTTCTGGTCTGAGCTCTTCAAGAAGCAGATAGACAATTTAAAGACTAATCATAGGGTAGGCTTCAGAGCCTAAGTTCTACAACTAGAAGTTATTGTGTCTGATGGATATGGTGGTTATTTTTTTTGGGCAGGGTACATTTGTATTGCAGGATAATAAGTTCCGTTGGCTTTCACGGATGTCAGGGGATCCATCAGAGATTTCTGGTGCTGCTCAAGATCCTTCCACCATGTCTGAAAATAAAGCAGCACAAGCAACCGGCATGCATCTCTATTTCCCCTGTGGAATTATAAGGGGAGCACTTTCTACCTTGGGAATTCCTTGTGCTGTTTCGGCTGATATATCCAACCTTCCGGCATGTAAGTTTTCCAAGTGCCTTCTGATTCAAAAGCTTTAGGACAACTAAACAGAAAATGAAAGCTATAAGGTCAAGTATGTCTGCACTATCTTTAGTTGGGAGAGCTTACTTGCATGAATGTTTGAACTCCCAACATTCTGAGCTTGTATGTAGATTAGTTTGGTTGGAAGTATTGGTTTTTGATAGACAAATGTCCCATGATTTATCGTTAATCTTGGAAACACTCCATCTCAAGAAAATTTGCCGCATTTTGACTTGATACAAATTACTTAGTGACAAGTGACCATTTTGTCGAACATCTAAAAAGGAAGACAACATGAAGGATCTTGTGAACCCAAATCAAGACCATCAATTTATTTGTAATTATTATAATGTGAAATGCGTAATTACAGCAGGGAAAATTTGCAATTTAAAGGACATTCCAAAAGGAAAAAATTGTTGCAAGTTCATGGGACAGAGGGAGTAGTAGTTATTGCCGAGTAAACTCGCCGTCAGCCCTATCTGTTGAACTTAATTTCCCCTTTTACATTGTTATAATTGCTTCCAATGATATCTGTATTTTGTCTAATTCATTTAGAGAAGCCAATAGTCTTGTAGGTGCCTTTGCTTCAGTGGTCAATTAGGTTGCTAGTGTTGAGATTTTGAGTGCTGCATAGATGCCAATAGGAAACTGGGGTTGTGGCATTGTCTCTCCTTCCAGAGGTAGATTATGACTGCTAGATGGCAGTTATGGTTTGTTTGTATTGGTGGTTTTGGCATGAATTGCAAAGTTTGTAATGTTTACTTATGGTTTTTGGCATCACAATATTGGGGATGATTAGTGCATGATGTGGATACTAAGGCTCCAATTTTTTGGTCCTTTAATGTTTCCATTTTGTTCTTCCCATTTGTTTAAGATGTGTGGGAAATGAAAATGTGAGGTAGGTTTACTTACTTGATGGGAGAAAAATAAGGATCTATCCCACAAAATGAAGAGTATATCATGAAGGAAAATGATATAGCTTAAAGAAATGAAATTCAAGCCTTTGTTAGTTTTGATGATGGCATGATAATGTGGTCCTTTCAAACAGTATCTAAATGACCCCTCCTCACAATGAGAATGTATATAACCTTATTCCGGTCTGGAGTGGTAAGAAATGAACTTATAATCATAGAGTCGACTCAAGTTCATAACCCCAGCCCATTACCATTTTGGGTGGAACATATCTAATAATTCTTTGATTCTGGTCAGTAAGAGGGATCTTGAACTAAGAAATAGACTCTAGAAACTAAAAAAAGGGTATCCAAAGCAACCTCAATAATCAGATTCATTGATATTCCTGGTATAATAGATGCTATCACACGCACGATCATACTCGATTCTATGGAATTGTTTGATCCTGTAGGGGGGGTCATCTATAATTTCGCATGAAGGGGTTATTTCTTAGTTTTGTCTAATCAATAGTTGTGCTGCTTTTGCTAACAAAAATCTGTAGAGTAGAGATATAAGAAGATATTATTTTTCAAAATCTTTATCATTGAAGTTCATCTCCAAGAATCTTTGGGCATGTTGTTCCCTCGGGTTTTAGTTCCTTTGGGATTCGTACTTCATATCGACTTCAGGGTGGGCCCCCTTTGGTCCAGGTTTTTAGCCTGTTTACGCATACGTCTTGCAGATATAGGCATATAATGGCTTTTTGACGATTAATTAGCATATACAGTAACGTTGTATGTTTTTGTGTTCTTTCATTTGCATTCTAATGAGATGACTCTTCATAAACCGATATGCAGGTTCATTTGTGGTCCGGATAAAGGTTTAGCAAATCTTACTACAAGAGATTAAAATGGACTGAGAGGTCCGCGACTTTTCAGGTCTCCAAATCAAACTCTATATTCTCCGTCATGATTATGTAAGTAAAAAAGTAATTAAGCCAGCTTAAAAAACTTGCGAAACTATTTATGATTTTTATAGGTTTGAATAAAAATTGATACAGGGAGTTATCAAATAAGTGTGCCATAAATTCCTAAAAACTGCATATATTGTGTAATCTAGAGATGAACCCCATGCTTCTCACTTATTTGCAAAGATGTTCCACCTCCTTGTTAGGAATTTCTAGGTTTGGGTAATATTTTCTAGAGCGTCCGAACGTACCCATCATCATGAAGGAGGTAAATTGCATATCCCGAAGATAAACAGGTGGATGGCATTTGGAGTCAAACCCCAGATCTCTCACCTATTCTGCAAAAATGTCCACCTTCTTACCTGTTAGGCTAGGGACTCGATCACATTTCGGTATCTTTGCATATATTCGTGGTGCATTAATGCTTTATTTATTTTTTTGTCATGTCATGTCATATCTCATCAATAATATATGAATATTTATATAGGAAAAAGTCCAAAACAACCCAATGAATAATCATATTTTGAGTGATTAAGGGGCCGTTTACCAAACTACCCGATAAGTGCTTACCGGTAAAATTTAACACTATTATTTACTTACTGGGTAAGATTTTAATCCATCAAAACGACATTGTATGCAACAATTCACCCGGTAAACATTTACCGTAGTAAGAGTTGTCGCCCTCACTTACTGGGTAAGAATCATGGTCCTTGTCTCGTTTTTACCGGGTAATATTCTTAGTCCTTACCATATTCATCCGGTGAGGTAATGTTACTTGGTAAGCGCTTACCCGAGTAAGTGTTTGGTAAACAGCCCCTAAGTCACTACGCTATTTTTTTAAACAAATAAATCCTTAAGCTTTATGAAATCGAACAAATAAATTCTTATACTTACTAAAACTGAGAAAAACACAACGAACTTTCATATTTTGAGCGATTAGGTCTCTGAATATTTTTCTCAATGAATAAATCTTTACGCTTATAAACGAAAAAAGTTATCCTTTCTTTTTCCATGAATTAGCAAATCAGTAGAAAAGTACAACAGACCAATAAAACGAAACAATACACCATTTTTATTAACCCTTATTTATTTTTCAGATTTAAATAACAATCACTTAGAGTTTGTTATGGCTTTGTGATTGTCATTTGAATTTGAAAATAGAAAATTATTAAATTATCTTATGTTTTCCATTTGAATCTAAAAATTAAATAATGAAAAAATTGTATTTAATTATTTTTTATTGGATTATTGTACTTTGTTACCGATTTAGATACACAAATTGAGAAATAATATATTGCTTTCCTTTTATAATTGCAATGATTTATTCATTCAAGAAAATGTTCAGAGACCTAGTCGTTCAAAATATAAAAGTTCGTTGAATTTTTCTTGGTTTTAATAAGTTTAGGGATTTATTTGTTTGATTTCAGAAGATTTAAGTATTTATTTATTTAAAAAAATAGTTTATGTACTTGATCATTCAAAATATGATGGTTCGTTGGGTTTTTAGACTTTTCCCTATTTAAATATGACTTGAAAGGTACTCGCGCAATGCAGCGAGATACATCTTGACTTTAATATTTCATTTTATTCTTTATCTTAGTCGATGTTATAATATTGTCTTTATGTGATTTTGGAAAACGATAATGTTTTTATTTTTCAATAAAATATAAATTTGAAAATATCATAAAAATTTGACAAAAATATATCAATATTAGTATCAGATTAACTATTTAAAATTCCTCATTTTTTTATAATTTTTCAATTCAATTTTTTTATTGTAATTTAATTTAGGTTCAATAACGAATTAATCTATATTTGGTTTAATAATATAATTTTCTTATAACAATAATAATTAATTATTTTGTTAGAACTCGATAATTATCCTAATTATATTTTAGATTTTTTATATTTTAAAATGAGATGTTTATCCTATATTTGATTATGTTTATCYGYAGTTAGTTACATGAATTCAAACATGAATCTTTAATAAGTTGTACTTATGTATAGTTACTTATAATCTTGAATTTTAAGTAATATGCATAAAAAATATTTTTTTAAGAGTTTCTGTCAAATGCTTTATAGTATAGTATGGATTAAGACGGATAATTTTGCAAGCCAACCAAAATCATGTTTGTTTCACAAGCAATATATTTAGCAAGTCAAAAAATATCACTTGTGAGTCTTTGACTATTTTGGTCTAAATGAAAAAAATTGTTAAAGAGCATAGTTCTAAATAACTCGTTATGACGTCAAGGTTTGGGTTCGTCATCACGTTAACCCCTATGTCTCCACTCTAACGTTTGGTTTGCATTATAATGCATGTGGCGCATTACAACGCATTATTTTGTAAGGTGTGCGGTTATTTTTAATAAATAAGTTGAGGGATAAATGATAATTATGTATGAGACCTAAAACTTAAATAAACATAAGAAGAAAATCTAAAAATTAAAACCTTAAATAGAGGAATGCTTAGGGGCCGTTTACCTAAACACTTACCCGGTAAGCACTTACCGGTAAAAAATTCAACACTATCACTTACTTACCTGGTAACATTGTATTCACTAAAATGCATCGTGTGCAACAATTATCCTGGTAAAGAGTCATCCTCCTCACTTATCGGGTAAGACTCTCGATTATTGTCTTTGCTCTTACCGGGTAAGATTCTTAGTCTTTGTCATATTCATACGGTAAAGTAAAGTGACTTGGTAAGCGCTTAGCCGGGTAAGCGTTTGGTAAACAGCACCTTACTCTCATTCTCGTATTCGAAGAGTTGAACACGAATTCTTTGAAAATTGAATATAAGTAGTGGGTAAAGGATGAATAAAAATTCCCTTGTGGCTACGGAGATTCAAATGCGGTGACTCTGGGCTATCTGCAAAACAGGTGGTCGCCCCGGGATTAGTCGGCTCGCATAGCGGGTTAGATATCCAAGTTAATAAAAAAAAAAATCAAGAGATTTAGTCCCGATTTTACACTCTCGATATCATTTTTTATAAGCTCTATATATTTGATATCAATTTTTTTTCCTTATTACTTTATGTGAGTTTAACTTTTTCATATTACTTTTAATCTTACAAAATAAAAATAATAAATAATAAATAAAATAATTGTAATGCATAACCCTTTAAAGTTATCATATAAAATTTCACAACTTTTTGAACTTCGTAAAATAACTAATAATTGACCCATAAATACATTAAAATACAATATAATATTCGAACTGTACTGATACTATAAAACAGTTCATCGTCTTAAAAAAAAAGGTTTAATGGTGGGGACCTCATGGCCCCGTGGTCCACATTTTGTGAACCCTACTTGCCATATCTCATAAGCAAGCATCGGAAAAGACAACATGTCCTCCCCTGTAATCGAACCTGGGTGGACACGCCCAAGGCAAGGTATTTACGGAAGGAGGTGGCCACTAGGACAAGGCCTAATGGTTAGCTCATCATCTTATGAAACAACTTACCAGGGGTATCAACTTTGTAAAAAGACGAATCAACCAAAACCGAAAGACAAATGAACGGCAGAGCGGAAGAAGTTGAAAACCATCGTTGTTGATCGATAATGTCTTCTCATTTCAATATTTTTATCATAATACGTATCGTGACACTTATGTTTATACAATTAAACGCAAACTTGATTGATGCAATATTTTTTAGCGGTTACTTATCCATCGCTAATATTTACTTTTGTAGATTTGAAATTATTATATAACCATTATTAAAAACTAGAATGGTATTCGCACAATGCAGCAAGATACATATTGATTTTACTGTTTCATTTTATTTTTTTGCAATCGATGTTATAATACGGTTTTATGTGGTTTTGAGAAAGTGATGATGTTTTTTTATTTTTTAACAAAATATAAATATGAAGATATTATAAAATATTTAAAAAAGTACCAAACTAACTATTTAATTTTTTTTTTTTTGTGTATTAATGCATTTTTAAAATTTTTGGTTTAATAATATAATTTTCTTATAAAGATAATAATTAATTATTTTGTTAAAACTCGATAATTATCTTAATTATATTTTAGATTTTTTATATTTTAAAATGAGATGTTTATACTATATTTGATTATGTTTATCCGCAGTTAGTTATACGAATTCAAACATCGAGCTTTAATAAGTTGTATTTATGCATAATTTACTTGTAATCTTAAATTTTAAGTAATATGCATTAATATACAATACTTCTTGCATAAAAAATGATTTTTAAGAGTTTTTTATCAAATGCTTTATAATATAGTATAGATACGTTAAACTGGTCAGTCCAATCTGCATCGACCACAACTGATATTTAATAGGTTGGATTAGGTTATAAATTTAAACAATAGTAATTGAATAAGTTATGATTTTCAAATCAAAGCAGTTGGATCCCACTGTTCGAATGAACTCAAGCCGTTCGATCCAAGCAATGTGGACCCTAATTTATAGAGGTGTACGGTCCTGCCTTGTTTCACCAATACCCTTAACCAACAAATTATAATTGGTATGCAAAAATCTATATCATGTACCAACCGATTAAATTTGGTATCGATTTTTTTTCCAGTTGGTACCGATTTATACAATTTCAAGTTACATATACAGAGAAAAAAACAAATATAAAATACCCAAATGCTCAAACTAGAAAGTTAATCTAACGAGGTTTAATATTCAAATCGTATCGGATGCAACAATTTGCTGGGTAAGCACTTACATGGGTAGGAGTCGTCATCTTCACTTACCGGGTACGACTCTACATCATTTTCATTACTCTTACCCGGTAAGATTCTTGACTCTTGTCATGTTCATCCGACGATTAGTTGAAATTTCAAAACTTAAAGTAAGAATATTATTAATTAATTAATATGATTAAATAATTAAATAAGTCAGTATCACAATATTAATGTAATAAATAATATTGAATATCATGTATTAATCAAGTTTGAGATATTAGATACGGTATTATCAACCAATTACAATTGATAATGATATTAAAGGTTAATACTAAGGGTGCTCACGGGTTGAAAACATTTGAATAGTCCAACCCAATGCTTGCGGTTTGAAAAATAACTCAACTCAACCCAAACCAAAGTGCAACCCAACACGTACGGGTTGGTCGGGTTATACTTTGGTATATTAAAATATTCTTCTAACTTTATAAAAGTTATTTCACTACTCATAATTTTTTTTTTCATCATCAACCATTTGATACAACTTATCTATACTTCTTACATATATCATATTCAATTAATTTTCTCAATCTACATATATATGTTCACAATTACTAAACATATATACGAATGCGTTGTATAGAAATGTGGATAAATTGAAAATATGTTTATATGAAGAACATACATGATAGTATAATTGTCTAATGTATATATTAATATAAATTCAACAATCATATTAAATCCAAGAAATAAAAAAATATCGGGTTAATCGGTTTGGTTGAGTTCAAATAATAGTAACTCAATATCAACACAATACCTACATTTTAACAATTTTAACTCGATTAGACATCGGGTTATATTGGATTGAATCATTTCATATTGTGTTGGGTTGAATTGATCGGGTTGGTCGGATTTTTGTTCGCCCTAATTTATACATATATGCTGATTTTTGAACACGTGCAAAATTGCTAATTTTAGAAACATCAAGAAATCAATTTGAAAATTCAAATCTATAAGAATGGCGCCCACGGGACAAAAAGTAATGGTTCCTCATTTTCTTCTTGTTTCTTCTACCGCTCGGCCATCTGTGTCGTGAATCCAGTTTCAGGTTCACTAAAATGGTGGCTTCCAAGAAGGTAAACTATGAAGAATCTCGGATGAAAAGGTTGGAAGAAAACAAGAAAAGAATGGAAGAATTGAAACTCACTGCTCTAGCTCAATCTCTTCGAACCACCTTAAGCCCAAAGCCCTCTCCTGTACGTTCCTCTTTTTATATAATCACACTCTCTTTCGATCACAAATTAAAGCATTTACAAAGAAATTGAGAGTCTAATTTGGGAACGATAGAAAAACGAAATTTGAAGAGTAATTAGGGCTTTTGTGTGTTTGGTAATGGCAGATGAAGAAGGTGAAGCGGACACCTAGACAGCCGCTGGACCTGTCTGCCGTGAGGAGGTCCAATCGTGTCGCCGACAAGCCACCAGCAAGTTACAAAGAAGTACTAATTTCTCACCATCTCTTTTTATTTTGCTTGATTACTTGATTGTGTTTTTTTTCTCACCATCTCTGTCTATTTTGCTTGATTGCTTGATTACTTGATCATTATTTTCGAATATCGTGTCTATTGATTCTAACAATTTTTTGATTCTGGGACTTTGAATCCAATGAGCGCTTGCTGTCAGTATTTATATAACAAATATTGCACAAGGTTAACTGATGGAAAGCTTTAAATGCATAATCGATTGACCTGTAACAATCAAGCAATCAAGTTAATAGGATGTATAAAACTGAAAAGGAAACATACCATCTTCCATGATTATAAGTAGAGAATCTTGGGTTGATATTGGAGATGCATAGAGTTATGATTGCATTGAAAACCTAATCATTGGATAACCATAAAATGGTCATCATATTTGCATGGATACAAATTGGTTATCATCAATTTAGTAAATACATTACGGTTATAATACATTATTAGACAATAATAGCACATAATATATACATATATATATTAAAAGTACATTCGTGACCTTATTGAACAATCTCCCTTTGGGTCAGATATGTAACTGAATGAATGTATACATCGCTGTGAGTGCTCTTAGGGGTTGTTCGGTAGATGCTAAATAGTTTGGTGCATAATTATTAAATGGTAAGAACTTGACACAATGAAGAGACTTTGTATGATTTAGTATAAGATGAACACCAACTATGTGGTAAGCATTCTGGATGAACTGTCTGAATGATAGAAAATCACCATTTTAACCCCTTGTAAGATTTAGTGTTGAATGAAATGGGTTGTTTGATAAATGTTGTGAATAAATGAATTAACTTGCAAATATAAATTACAAAAAAAACAAAACAAAAGAACATTAAATAATCGGAACATTTGTATTAAAATAATACAATATTAATCAAAACATACCATACCATATTGAAACATACCCAACATTAATCAAAACATATCATATTAATTCAAAAGACCTTAGCAATTATTGCATTCACGAAACTCATTTTAAAAACAAGCACAAGTGCAAAATCTGTGGGCTGCTGTTTTTAACGATTAGTTTAGAGGTGTGGATGCTACTTTGCAGAATCTGCTACAGTTGGGGTAGCAGCTTCTGTATGCATTGATGTCTCAATTGATTTCCCTTTTGTTCATCAATGCAATGCATTTTCTCCCTGTTTTTTGGCATGTTTGAGATCCACATTTAAAAAACTTGTCAACTATGCTTCTGTGTGCATGCAAATCCAACACCTGTGCCCATTCCCTTCTCATTCTTGTTCCCATATCCCTTCCTTCAACTATGCTTTTGTGTCCTTGTAAATTCGTCTCCTTGCTTCATCAATGCTTAGCAACTCCATAACGGCATGCGTGTAGGTGTTTCAAGTTATCTTTAACGCATCTAGTCCCTTGGTGTTTAGATATCTAAGTTTCATCATCCCCGTTCTCTGTTTGTCTCTCATTTGCATCCACACATTCGAGTGTATGTCCTTTAATAGCTGCAAAACAATCTATTTGTCTCAATTTAGCATGTAAGTCCATTTATACTTAAATCATCACCAACGATTAACAAACTAGTCTTACCCCAAAATTCTGTTCCTTTCTTGGTTGACGACATTAATGAATGAATCTTTTCCTCTTTCAGGAAAAAAAACTACTCGTTACACATTTGAACACTTCTAAGCCAAAAAATCACATTGAAGATCAATAGTATGGATGAAATATAACCACTAAAGCCCATTATAGTTCGTATCCTGAACTATAAACACCTACAAATGTTGCAGTATGACTTGTGAAACAAAAGATAGTGTGTTGATTATAGGACTTTTGAAGTTTGTGTATTGTGCTATGACCACAAAAAAGGGTCCCTTTTTTGGTATACTTATAGTTATTATCTTCATTTTGAATCCAGTGATTGAGCATACCGCAAACAAATTGAAAATTTACCAAAAGACAATGTCAAGCAGCCTTATCAAGAACTTAAATATGACGGAACCACATCATACAATCAAAGAAACTAGATGATTTTTTAGATACAACCAAAGCTCTCAAGATCAGAATGACCGATCTTCCTAGAAACAATAATAAAGTTAAATATGAACTTTGATAAAAGCGGAAGAACTATTTCTTTGTTTACCTATGGCAATAAGATGAAACACAAATAATTCCATAGCCAATTGATGATGACATGTATAAGATCTTCCAATGACTCTCAATGAATAGAATTAACTCTATTCCTCACCCTGCTTCTGACCCCTGACAAAGGCTTCCATCCTCCTGTCCTCCACCCCTGATTCAGATGTGAACTCTGAATGGCACCATTTAGAACCTAACATCAACCCCTTAACCTTGCTATTATAATTAAGACATTCTTAATAATCTTGTCCATCAATCATATTTGTATAGGATCAAACAGTTTTTTTTTATATAATTGTAACTAAACTCATCAATGGTCACACATACCGATATAATAAAATGACAACAGATTATACATGTCATGCAATCATAACATGTCGATTACCAAATGGTTCATCGTCAATCTTTAGTGAGATCAAAAGTGTAAGAAAAAATGGAAATTTTGAACATTTTGTTCAATACATAAACATAGCATAATTGTTTTTTAAACAATACATACACCTCTCAAAATACAAACTCACTGAATCATACTATCCTCAAAAGGTGAAAGACCTTCGATAGCAATCCCATAGTGAGCAGATTTGAAATCATGAAGTTTGTTCTAATGTGCCATGTGGAAATCTAACATTTTGTACTCTTTTCTTAACAACTAGAAACTTGATGTCAATATGTTTTTGACTTAATAGAGCTTCTGTTTGTATTGGAATAATCACTTTTGACTTATTATTACAATATAAATTAAGTGGTCTCATACACAATGTGCAACCATGTGACTCAATTTTGTTGCCATATTTCATGATTAGATGCCTCATAATATGTTCCAAATTATGTTTCCATGGTAGATGTAGTCACAAGAATTGTTCAGATTAATATTCATGTTTGGCTGATTGGTTCTTCCTAATCTATTCACATCTTTTCATATTTTCTATATGCTAAATCTGCAATCTCTTATGCTCAATTGCTCACTTATAGAACGGTGATCCGTGATCCTATTTATAGCGAGAGGTATAAGAGTTGACCACATTGTGAGAACTAGCTTTGAATATCCATCAATTGGTTATCGTATTTGTATATACCTAAACTGGTTTGTCATCAATTAATACCTTATAGAGAATAATAGCACATACATAGATTTGGGATCATGTGAGGTTAGGCTGTTTTCGTGTTACTTGTGAGATAACATAAATAAGATTGAACCTTTATAGCAAAGCATTGTGAAGGTTCAGTGTTTTTTCATATCTTCACAATATTTTACTATGAAGTTTCAGTGTTATTTTGTGGTCACGAAAACAAGTTTGGTCTCACGTGAATCCAACCCTAAAAAATCAGCTACGTTAAAAAAGCAGCCCAAGGTTACGAAACTCTTTTCATCATATGATTATCATGCATTAACTTAAAACATGAATTCTATTGGATCTTATTGACAAATGAACATGATCAGTCATAAATGTGTCTGTGATATATATATATATATATATATATATTTGTATCCTTATGAATCGGATAATACTATGTTATTCTTAATACTTATATTTACTTTGTTCATTGGATTCTTAGAAATTCCTTTCAACAATTAGATAGATTGGTATGAATTTTGTAAAGATGCAATTTTTTCAGTAAGTATAGCCTCTTTCGGCTTTATAGCATTTTTTTAATATAAACCTTTTTGTTCATTTATTCAAAATTTGGACTTAATTAATGCATTTGTTAAAATGGGTCCTAAGAGAATTTTTTCCATCAATTATTGGTCTGTCAAAAAATGAGCGAATTTGGCCAATTTTCACATCCCCACAGTTAAGAATGTTCCATAAAAGGCATCTATATAACCGTGATTATACGACCAATCATATATACCATTTTTTACTATGTAAAAATTCTCCTAGGACCCATTTTAACAATGTATTAATTAAGTCCAAATTTTGAAAATATGAATAAGCAGGTTTATATAAATATCCTATAAATATTCCGAAAGAGGCTACACTGATTGAAAAAACTGCATCTTTACAAAATTCATACCAATCCATTGAATTGTTTGAATTTTAGTGTGAAAGATTTATAGACGGGGTCGATTGGAAGGAATTTCTAAGAACCCAACGAACAAAGTAAATATAATCAATATAAGTAATTGAAATAACATAGTATTATCCGATTCATAAGGATACGAATATATATCAAAAAAACATTTGTGGCTGATCATGTTCATTTGTTAATAAAATCCACCTAGATTCATGTTTTAAGTTAATACATGATAACCGTATGATGGAAGGAGTTTCGTAAACCTCGGGCTCATTTTTTTAACGTAGCTGCTGTTTAAACTTAGATGAGCATATTCTACAACATTGAACAGTTGAAAATGGTAATCAAAATGTTACAGCCAAACCAAGATATACAAATGTTGAAGCTATAATCAAGTTAACATCTCGGAACCAAAATATACCATTGTTCTTGTAATATTTGATAATTGATCAACTCTAAATCCTGAAATGCTATGACAGGTCCCCATCGAACCTTTGGGAAGGCGTAGGAGGTAAACTTTTTGACTGTATAGCCGTATAAAATTTGAATAACCTTATAATTTGATTCATTTTCACGATGATTTGTGTTATGTGTTTTCTCAGTTACGGTAAAAGTGCAAGGGATTTATCAAATCGAGTATATGCCTCTCATGAAGATAGAGAGTACACTTCAGGGAGAGCAGAAGAACTACACTCCACCTTGGAAGCTGATTTCCCAAGCTTTGTAAAGCCAATGCTTCAATCCCATGTTTCAGGTGGATTTTGGCTGGTGAGTTCAAAATGGATTACACCCAATATGGCTATGATCATAGGATACTATGACTAACAAAAATTCTTTAGAATGCCAAAATAGTGCCTCAATTTTGCCTTTTAACATCCTCTCTACCCTTTTGGATAGAGGTAAGGTCTGTGTACATCCTACCCCTATCTGTTGCGGGATATACCGAGTTTGTTTGATTTATGTTGTTATGATTTGTGTTAGGGTCTTCCTGTCCATTTCTGCAAGAGCCACCTTCCCAAACGTGACGAAATAATGACCCTAGTTGATGAGGATGGCGATGAATGGCAAACAAAGTACCTCCCTAGGAAAACAGGACTTAGTGGCGGATGGAAAGGGTTTGCTGAAGATCATAAGCTAGTCGATGGCGATGCACTAGTTTTCCAACTTATCAAACTAACTGTTTTCAAGGTTGTATTATAATCTTTATTCCCAGTAGCCGCGGGTCTTCACAGAAACAACCTCTCTACTCTTTGGGGCTAGAGGTCAGGTTTGCGTACATCTCACCCTCCTAGACCCTACTTTCAAGTGAGATTTAATGGGTCCGTTTAGTTTGGTTGACCCGTGTAGACCAGAAGGTTGACACTTTACTGATCCATTCTGATTTCTGCATTTAATCAAGGTTTACATTATTAGAGTGAATCAAGCTGAAGATGGTGATGAGTCTCGATAAGCCACAACAGGTGAATTCACAAATCTACAATCAAAATCATCGAAACATAACTTCTAAACCTTGTTCTAGATTCAAAATGATCGTAATGAACATCAGGATCTTATGATTTTATGACCAACTGTTGTGTTTTTTAAAAGAATCTCTGACCATTGTTCTTTTGCATGATTGTATTTGCAGCTAGATAATAGCATGATTTTGCTGATCAGGTACACGCTACCGATGCCTACTAGCGTAGGCATTTTCATTTTAACGAGTTTTTTGGCCATTCTATTAGCTTACAAGTAATCATGGAACCAAATGTGTCATACTGAACGAATCGGCAAGCACTTATATCGTGCAGGAGTCGTAGAAATCGATAGATATACGTCTCGTTGTGGCGCCTGGATACGAATCATTTTCGTGATGATTTGTTTGTCTTTGATCCAGAAATTGTATCACTAACACTAAAAGGAGTTGTTTTAGAAAAGTAGTATGAAATTATGCCCAGATATTCTTACTGTTCTTGCTTATGACATGGAGTCTAGTATCGGTTAGAACTGAACTGTTTTTCTCCTATTTATGTTGGAACCTTCGTTTTCTCTGGAAGAGTTCTTTTGGAGAGTAGCCTAACACGGGTTCCACATATTTTCATAGGGCATCAGAGTTCAGGTTTACCACTTTAGGCAATCTGTATTCGTCTAGTCCCTTCTGTCTTAACTCTCATTCTCATCGGAACCCAACCCTCTTGCACTATACCTATTTTTACAACTAGAAGGGTACCCTCGCACAATGTAGCGAGATACATCTTGATTTTTATATTTCATTTTATTTTTTATCTCAGTCTATGTTATATTATTGTCTTGTATGAATTTGAAAAAAACGATGATTGTTTTTATTTTTGAATAAAATGTAAATTTGAAGATATCATAAAAGTTTGATAAAAATATATCGATATTAGTATCAAATTAACTATTTAAAATTCTCATTTTTTGTGTAATTTTTTAATTCAATTTTTTTTATTATAATTTAATTTAGGTTCAAAAACGAAGTGATTTATATTTGGTTTAATAATATAATTTTCGTATAAAGATAATTATTTTGTTAGAACTTGATAATTATCTTAATTATATTTTAAAATGAGAAGTTTATCCTCTATTTGATTATGTTTATCTGCAATTAGTTATACGAATTTAAACATGGAGCTTTAATAAACTGTATTTGTGCATAATTTACTTGTAATATTGAATTTTAAGATGCATTACTTCATGTATAAAAAATGGTTTTTAAGAGTTTTTGTCAAATACTTTATAATATAGTATAGATAAATAATTTCTAATGAATGTAATATTTTAGTGTAATGAATAGTAAAACACCAAAAATTGTGTGACACTATCCACCGACATATAAGATAAAAATACATAATGATTATCAAAATAAAACAATACATAATCGTAGTTGTGGCAAGATAGACACGTTTACGAAAAGATGTACTATATGATATAACAACTACATGTATTATTTTACATAATATTATAATCCATGATGAACACGATCTCGATGCACCTATTGAAGCTGTGAGAAATGTGTCACTGATAGAGGTAGAAAAGATTATCGATGATAACGATCGATTCCTTGCTCGATATAGACAAATCAAGGATAAAAAAAAAACTCATCTTTTAAGGGCCGTTTGATATGCGAATTGATATTATATTTCATTCTTATCCCGTTCCACAAGCATGATATTTAGAAATCCTACGAGAGTAGTTGGTATCTCGTATGATTTCATAAGATTTGTTCGTAATAACGTTTTATAATACGTTAACACTTGTTTTTGTAATAATTAATTAATAAAAGTTTAATTTAATTATTTTTATAAATTATTTTTATAAATTATCTATAAAAAATGAAATTCAATTGTATTGTAAATCCTATAAGACCAAACATGCCAAATATTCCAAATCCTCCCAATTTAAATTTATTCCATGAAATCCAAAGATATGAAAAACTTTGTGTCAAACCAAATGGACCTCTAAAATATTTTGTTTTGATGTTAAAAACATGTAAAATATTAGAAAATATAATGAGACATGTTTTTGACTCACTCAGTGGAAATACTTGGGATCAAACTAGAGACTTGTCTTGTATTTGAGTAAAGTCGTCCTACTTTTTACCAAAAGAGCTACATCTCATAGGCAGAGATATTCCAATTTTTTTAGAGGTCCTGTTATACTTAAAACTTTTGATTACACTGCAAAATAATATATATATATATATATATATTATAAATCATTTGACAAAAACTCTTAAAAATCATTTTTTATTCTTGAAGTACCATATATTGATGCATATTACTTAAAATTCAAGATTACAAGTAAATTATGCACAAGTACAACTTATTAAAGCTCTATGTTTGAATTCGTGTAACTAACCACGGATAAACATAATCAAATAGAGGATAAACATCTCATTTTAAAATATAAATAATCGAAAATATAATTAGGATAATTATCGAATTCTAACAAAATAATTAATTACCATCTTTATAAAAAAATTATATTATTAAACCAAATATAAATTACTTTGTTATTGAACCTAAATTAAATTATGATAAAAAAAATTGAATTAAAAATTACACAAAAAATAAGAATTTTTAAATAGTTAGTTTGACACTAATATCGATATATTTTTGCCAAATTTTTATGACATATTTAAATTTATATTTTATTAAAACATATAAACATCAAGATGTATCTCGTTGCATTGTACGAGTATCCTTCTAGTATATATATATATATATATATATTACAGAGACGATGATAAAACATATTTATTTTGTTTTATGATAAAAATTAAATAAGCATTGAGATGAGTTATAGTTTTTACATTCGTTAATGAAATATCCCAACAAAAAAATTAGGCCCCAAAATTTTCAAGTCATATTCAAAATCACACATTTAACATGTTAAGGATAACAATCGTTTATGTTTGATTTTTTAGTGTTTTTCTTCTTTTCTATTTAATATAAAATAATTTTTTATCTTTAAACTCAAACATTTAATTATTACAAGTTAAAAGTTTATTAAATTTAACTTTTTTTTGTACTACAATTTGACGGTGTAGACAAACCGTGACTGAGACCTGATTGAAATACAAACTTTTGTTGTTAAAGGACAAATATGTATATTGATAAAAAGTATAAGGACCGGTTATGTAATTAAATCAAATATAAAAGACACATCAATTTAATTGGCAAGATAATTGGAGCAATCCTGCTACCATTCCCACCGTCGCCCTGCGGTGGTTTCTCTCTATTTCTCTAGCTACCAACGTATCAGTGTCATCATCGACTCTCTATTTTTTTTGCCATCAGCGCATCGGTGTCTGTCGTCGCTCTCTATCTGCGATTTCAGGTATGAACAATGCGATTTCTTTATATGTTTGGGTTTGGTTCTTCGCCCCTTCCTTCTGACCTTCTCCATGAATCTGAATCCAAAGTCAGCACTCAACACTCGCATATCGACGACGGTATTTCTCACCTTGTTCACTTCTGCTGTTCGGTGGACGGGCCTGCACTTCACACATCAACGACGGTATTTCTTCTTCCAGATTATTATTTGTGGGCATTACATATATATATATATATATATATATATACACACACACACACACACACACACATAAACCTGGAGAGAGAGAGAGACCCACCAGCTGAACTCCCATGGAGAAGGATTGAAGGAATCGTTTTTTGGGCATCTGTTTCAATGGTAGAAGCAATAGAGTGATAGACTCCATCCTTATCTCATCTTAGTGTAGTCCAATAAGAATATCGATTTCAGCTCTTATGAACCGACACTGCCGATTACGTAATTAAATATTTAATATTCTGTAAATCGCATATTATATAGTTATAATGTTTAATACTCTGTCGTTCGTGGTGGAATTGGTAGTCGTTCATGTAGCAGAAAGCAGATTATTTGCAAACTGCAATGGTGATGTTAATAAAACCCAGTGAGGCAATGATGAACTTGTTTGAAAGTCTTTTAGGTTACCGATTTCGTTATCGGTTCTGATTTGGGTTACCGCTTTTTGTTAGTTTTGGTTTCGGTTACCGATTTTGCTTTAGGTTTTAGTTCGGATTACCGATTTCGTTTCTGGTTTTGATTTGGGTTACGTATTTTGTTTTTGGTTTTGCTTTGAGTTACCAAATACCGATTTTGTTTATGGTTTTGAGTTGGGCTACCGAATTTTTTGATATTTACTTGTTTAGATTCATTGATGTAGAAAATACCATACTCAGATCATGTAACTTATGTTTTTGTTCATATTGTTTACTTGTTTTGGTTAGGATTTAGGAAATCAAAATTAACATACGGTTTATTGTTTAGGACTTTAGTCTTTAGATAAACTATAATAGTAGTACGTGATAACATGTGTAACAGGGCCTCCAAAAAGCCTATTTGTTTTGCCTAGTTGATGAATGATATATAAGCCTATGATGACAGATTTTAGAGTTCATTAGTTATGTATGCCAAGTGTTTGTAAAAAAGCCCGACTTATCTGTTTCACTTTGATCTTCTTTATGATAAAATTACATCATCTTAATTAAAAGTAAATATTAAAAGCAAAATTAACAAATCATCATCTTCTTAACAAATCAAATATTAAAAGTAAATAACATAGTGAACTTGAAAAATCTTGTGCAGGAACTCTAATCCTAACCCATAATCTATGTGTAAAAACAAAAGCAAAATTAAATTAAAAGAGGCTACTGATAAATGATAAGTGACGATGTATATTCAACTCGTTTAGGTTCTAATTTCTAGTCATCTACTCTTATCAATTCAAGTGTCAAACTTGTTAGCATCAGCAATAGGTTTATCTTATTCATTGAAAGCCTTGCGTTCTTTACCTCTAATTCAAGAAGATTATGGCTTGCACAAATGACAACAGATTGCTGTAGGCCCAACTAACACAACCAAGTTAAAGCAGACTTTAATTAACCACACCTCGTTAGGAACTTTTTTACAGTATACAATAGTACCAAAGGCTTTAGAATGGTCAGATATCATGTATTAGTGTATTACCAACAAATCGATCCATTCATCATCATTAATAAGCCCGTATCCAGGATAACTTGGATCAACTAGAAGACGAAACTTAATAGAATGCATGAAGGGTGACTCCATCGTATCGATAACGGTACTAATAAAATAACCAGGATAGAAATAAGACCTAAATGGGATTATATTGCAGCAGCCATTTTGCTGCTCAAAAACCTCCCCAAATGTATGTGCATTTGATCCTAATGAGTTTGGTAAAAATTTATTGTAAATCGAACTTTTCCCCATTGAAAGAAGGGAAGGAGAATCAAATTTGTTCTTGGGGGGGTACCATTGAAGGGAGAGATTCTAAGGGTTATTCTTGGCATATAAAAAAGAGGAGATGCACCATAGGGGGCGAAAGTGATTAAAAGGGAGAAGAAAAGGAGGGGACTGTTGGGGAGAACTCACGACTGGAAAAACACAAAAAAGGGATACACTACTAAGGGATTTTCTAGAGGGGTTTAGGGAGGAGTCTTACATCGTACTTGGTGAATCGATTGGGGCTGTTTTAACAGCAGCAAAAGCATCAACAAGGGAGGGTGTGGCTGCTGCCTTTTTTCTCCTGTAATCAAACTGAACAAACGGGGGATGTTGACGGGGTTTCTTTCTTCTCGTTCTCCTTCAGTTACAACACAACAGCAACACAATCTATTAGGGAGGTTTGTTTCAAGTGTTTTCTATTCATAACAGATTACACTTATTAATTTTAGTTTAATTTTAGAATAAAGTTCGAGTGTTGTTTTTGGTATGGTTGGTTTTGAAAGTCTTGGATTGAATTTTGTATAATTGTTCGTCTTGATTTCTCTTAGAATCCATTGATTTTGGGATTTGAATTTGCAAAAGCCATGAATTGATGTTGGCAATTATTTTTATGGCATCCTTTGAGATTTTAGATATAGTTTAGCTTAGTGATTTAGTTTGTGTTCGATGTTGAAATATTCTTTGTTGATTTTGGCTATTGATTGTTCGTATGAATGTGCTACTTTATAAGAGTTGAATTGAATTCATGATTTCTTGTTTTGCACACCAAGTGCTCGATGGAAGTTTTATTTTAAGTTAATATGTTTACTTGATGGTTAGTAGGAGATGTGGATGATCTTTATGTTACTTTTAATGGAAAGAGTTCCCGTTTTTACTAGTTTTCATTAGTTAATGCCTAGTTATGATGTTTTGCTTTTTATATGTTTAGCATTTTAATACAACTCTCAACTCCAATGATTTTGGAAGTACTGTATTTGTGCCAAGTAGATTTCGTTTTTTTAATAAGTTTTGAGCTTAATTCAATTTAATTGAGTAGAGTATCTTGGTGACGCATGTGCAATTGGTTTAACACACATTATTAGCTTAACCACCAACTCCCTGAAAAGAACGAGACGACTTACCACTTTACAGTTTAAGTTATGTTTATAAGTTTAAACCTTGTTTTGCGTTTTACAACGCGTGCATCAAGTTCTTGGCGCTGTTGCAACACTAAGGTACACGAGTACGACCGATGTGTTTTGGGCCGAATTGATGCATTGCGGATTTAATATTTCAGTTGCATCTTCATGAGTTCTGTTTTTGCCAAATTGATGCATCCGGTTAAAGTGGAATTGATGCATCTCGGATTTAATATTTCAGTTGCATCTTTATGTAGTTCTTATGATACACCAGTGAGAGGAAAGACATGTTTCGAGCAGATGGCAATAGAAGAACTAGGGGAAGGTTAATATTATTATCAAGGAAGTTTTTTCTCTCTTTTTAATTTCTGACAGGTTCAATGTTTCGCCTACCCCAAGTAGTTTTTGACCTGGTATAATGGCTTGTTTTTATTAAAATCTGCTAGATGGCTTTTGTGTGCTGCCCATTTTTTGACAATATACAATTAACTGGATCATTGTAATTCTTTGGGGGGTTGCCTGATTTCGAAATTTACTTGTGCATACTTGATATTTTTTAAGTTGATGATTCATGATTGCTTCTAACATACCCAAACGTTGAAATTTGCATTGTTATATGAGGCTGTAGCATATTACTTTTTTTATTTATTATCAATTTTATATTATTCAGAGATTTTTTCAACAATTCAGCATGGATTTTGATTTGGATGATTTGCTTTCAACTGATGCTGCAAACAATGGTATATGCATTTGGTTTCTCTTTCTCTCTCTCCCTTTATTCTTCCTCTATCGATGTTCTAATATGTCATATTTATGCTTCAATGGTGGGCATTATTGATTTATTGACTGTTGCAGCAAAAACCAGTACAAAGTTTCAACCCAAAGCCAAACCAAAACCCAAACCCAAACCAAAGCCTAAAATCCAACTAGAACAGAAATCGGAATCAATCCCTTTGAGGCAATTTGTTGAAGATGTTGCTGCTGCAAATAATGAGTTTACAGGCAGAATCGTGGAGGAACAACCTGGAAATGATGTCAACCAAATTTCTGGAAATATCAATGATGATTGGCAGTCTTCCTTTGAGAAATCACAGGAAGTGGTGGGTAAATTTTATGTTAAGCTTTCATATTTCCGATGACCACAATTGCCTAATTTCTTTTTGGGTTGCACACAGCATGGTGAATCATTTCTTACATTGGAATCACTTAATGACTTTCCTCCTCAATCTACAATAGTAACAGGTCAGTTAAGAGCACAGTTATTCTTCTGTCAAATTTAGATAAACAAGAGCATTTATGATTTCGGTTATTATTTATGTTTATATTACATCTTGTTACTATTATCACTAGTTGTTTGTCGCCTTAATAATATTCGGTAGAACCATGGATGGGGTATGATATATTGTTGGATATGGTGGTTGAGCGTATTTGATGTGATGTTTAAGCAGTATGATTTTTGGGAAGAGGAGGCTTAGTGTATAAAAACTTGTCATGCATTAATCTTGGCCTTTGGTGATCAACTACAAATGTTAGATTCTTGTAAATGATGGATTACTTTGGAGGCTAAGGGGGTGTTTGGTTGTGGGTATTAAGGTAAGGAATGGGAATGATGATGAAAAATGGGGTTTGATTTGATATAATGTTAGATTCTTGTTAATGGGGTTTGATTTGATATAATATAATGGGCCGATTACCTCAAACCCATTAATTTTCACACCTGACCGAACTGGAGGGAACATAAATTTTATTCCCTCTTGGTCCATCTTGTGATGTTGAATGGAACATATTTTCTACTTTCACGTTGGATGGAACTTATTTTATCTTTTCAAGTTGAACAAAATATATTTGTATTAAAATATTATTTAAAACAATTTTTCATTCATTATATTAGTTTTAACCAAACATCATCAACTCTGTGCTCATTACTATTCTCATTCTCCTGAATTCTTATTTTGCATTTTCATCTCATTCCTTAAAGTGAACCAAATACACCCCAAGTCTCTACCCCCCTCAATGTCAAAATCCGAATTCTGAAATTTTATAAGGACACATGTTATATATGAGATTGGAACACACAAAGCTTCAAAATTGAACTTTGCCACGATTCTGTTATTTACCAAAATAATTTGACTGGGTTGGTATGGGCTTTCCCATTGATCACGTTTGGCCTGCTTCTGCGCATGTGGGGTATGTGTGTTATTGCGTTTGACATTTTTGTCGAACTTGAATTGGTTGTTGATGTATTTGTATTTGTTCTTGTGTGTATGTAGGTGGATGAAGAGTCTAAGTGTGAATTTTGATACAGAAAAGCTTAAAATGGTGGCTGTAGAGTGCCAAAAAATATCATATTTGCTAAGTTTATAGGGTGCATTGGCATGAATGTAGGCCAAAAACTACTTCTGTCAAAGTTTATGGACCCAGATACTATACGTTCACCAAATTGAAAGTACCATCGAGGCTATGTCATTGGAAGGTCATTAGTTCTAATATTTACATATGCATATGCATATGTATCTTCTAGTTTGTTGGTGTATTTTGAATTCATCATATACATCACAGCCTGATGGTTCATTGATCTACTAACATGGTATCTAGCAGGGGACATATGCAGGATAGTTTTTTAATTTTCTTTCTTTTTGGAGTATTAGCAAATGATTTTAGCTTTTAGAAAAGCTGGTGACTTGACTATGTGTGCATTATATTAGCATATTGGGTCCTCTTTTGGAAAAAGCCTATCATGTTTGTTTTGGAGCTGTATCATTCATCCACATAGGTGCTTTCTAAAAGCCAATATGCTCTGATCACATTTAAAATTGTAGTAGTTATTTTATGGAACTTGTGAGTTATCCTTTGAATATAACAAAATACAACAGTTGAATTACAAGTTTCTTTGAACATAACAAATTATGATGCAGTGAATTCGCCACCATGCTCAAACGCACCAACTGGTCATGTTTCCATTGATGGGAATCTGGAGAAGGGACCCATAGAACCTGACTTGAGCTATAATATTGATTCTTGCACGAACTTTGAAAGTCCTGCACAGCTCGATCCTTTAACAGGGGAGGAAGCTGCTATTTTTAATGACAATGGAGACTTCCAGATAGGAAATTTATCGGGACCTAAGGTAAAACCATGAGTTCTTTCCTTCTCCTCTTACTTAAAAGCACCATCTCAATAAACTCTAATTTTTGGAGTGTGTCCAAATTTAGGATGCAGAAAGCTCCCAATTCTGGGAATCTCTTGACATTTTGTCTCACTCAAAAACTTGCTCAGGTACGTCCGAATAGTAAGTTCATGTATTATTCATTATGCTCTTTCTAATATTTAGTTGCTTTACACTGGTGATCAATATAGGACCAAGGGTTGGCAAATTCAAGCCAAAACCCAAGGCACAAACTCGTAAACCGGAACAGATTGTGACCAGTCCTGATAAAGATCTAGCGTCTGTTCAATATGAGGAAAATGTTCATTCAGTGTCTTCTCAAACCAACTACATGCAGAACAAGGATGTTCCTTCGTTTACAGAAGATGACATACTTGGCTCAGCATCTGTGAGAGTCACTGATTCAGCTCCGACAGAGACAATCTTTGATTTCCATGTGAATGAAGAATCAATGAATTTGGCCGATCAAATGGATTCTGTGATTCCTGAAGAGCACCTGGATGCTGTTACAGAGTCCCCTTCAGCAGTTAGATTTTTCCCTGAAAATGTTTTTGTGTGAATATTCTTTTTCTACTTCTACCCCATTCCCATTCTAACTTTGATTCATCCATTCCCCTTCTGATAGGGCCCTGAGAGTGTGAAGAAGGGAAAGAGAAAAACACGTAAGGGGTTGAATCCTACACAGCTAGATAATTCTCCTGAATCTAGTCTGGAGAATCAAGTTGGTACTTCTTCTGAGCGATTAAGAAGGCGATCAAACAAAACACTTGAACCTATAGACGAATCTGACGATGAAGGTATTGATGATGGTTTTGTGCATGGGAATGAAGATAGTGGTGATTATGAACCCGGAAGTGAATATTTAGATGAAAAAAAGGGAAGCAAGTCAAAGAAACCTGTTAATGAGAAGGAAAGGCCCATTAGAAAGCGTAAAAAGGCCAATGAGGTACCAGCTGAGTCGACTAAAGTAGCCAAAAAGAAGTTTCCTCACCGAACTCGACGTAATAAAAGACAAGGTAACTTTAGTTTTGAATGATAAAGTGTTTGAGGAACACCTGTGACCAGTATTGACTATTTGGTTCTCCCATAGTGAACCCAGATTTGCTTAAAATGACCGAGGATGAGCTTGAGATGCATATGCATACTGTGCCCATGAAGGAATTAATCAGGCTTGCAGAGCATAGGGAGCGATTAGCGGTACGTACCATTTTCATTCTTTTCTTGAATGTTTCATACTGTTTGGGGACTTCCATGTGGCAATTGTTATTACCTGTCTGTCCCCTTTTGATCTACCATATACGTATCATATAACACTTCATATTATATCCTTTAAAAAAACACTTCATATTATACTTAGATGTATTCTTTAATACGATCCATTGCCTTTTGACATGGTTAAGATATAGATTCAAGATAGACCACACAGAATGCTCCAGAATAAGTACTACAAAGTGATAATTTTCTGTTTGCATTTTACTTAGATTTAGATTGTGTGGTAAAAGGGAGAGGCAAAAGTGTGTGATTAAAGCATGCATTAACGATCAAGTGTTATATATTATGGTAATTATGGGTTTTCCGCTAGATCGTGTTACATAATGTTTGGAGGCTCAAGAGCAACTTATTAGCCAACTGTGGTGGGAATGCACTGTAATAGTCTGTGGATATGTAATTGGTTTCTTATGGTGTTTACCCACATTTGATATTTCACTAGAGTAGAAAACAAATTAATTTACTGATTTCAGTAAATTGGTTTCTACCAGTGCCACAACTTGCTCTTCAACCACTCGTGGCCACCATCATCAGGAATTCAATAATTCTCTCAGCCCTTCAGGTGCCCTACTTATCACAATGAAAGATCTGTGAACATTGCTCGTTTTTATTCATCCCCTGTAATTACTTCTCATGTAGCCTCAGTACTCTACAAGGTAACCCAAGTACAATTCCATTAAGGATTTGGCAGACACTTGAAAATGTAAAAGTTTCCAAGTATAGTGTTCTACACCCAGATGAATGAAGTATGATATGGATTCTGATTTTATGAAATTTGGTACTGCGGTTGATATTATTATTGTGGTGGTTTTCGTTTATTCAGTTTTATCTTAGTACTATGTAGACCAATAATTGTATCTGCTAGAAAGAGAAACGGGGTTAAGCAAGATATATCTTGGAGGAAGTAGTCAAGAGATTTGAGAAATAAGCTTGATGAGCTCTTCATAGTGCTTAATATGCTACTTTTCCTTTTTAGATGCTGACTGTTATCTGCCTCTTATCTCTCTGTTGTATTTATTCTCTTTTGTGCAGAAAAAGGAAGCATCTACTTCAGGAACACCTGCAAGGAATCAAAGGTATTAAGGTTCATTTGGAATGCTCATATTTCTTAATTATATCCTGCTCAAAAAATGTCAAATTCACAAAATAACACCATCTCATGTTTGAGATGGTTATGGAGGATTGTTTCTGCTCATCCTTTTGGAACTTTCCCTTTATTTTGGGATCCACTGGGCTCTATGCTGTGTGCTGGGAACTTTAGTTAAGCAAACCTTAACTTTTATATGGTTTTGCTTCGATGGAAAGCCATATCAATAGTTGGCCACCATTTTCTTTTTTTTGAAATAAGTTGGCACCATTTTCCTGCACCTGCATTTACTGAAACATCATAATTGTTTTGTAAAATTTTATTCACTTTTAAAAAACTGGTTCATGACCTCATATGCAACTTGCTCATTAGGGAGTGTGGCAAAAATATGCATTAAAAAGTTATTGCAACGTGAAGAACAAAAGACCTCCTTTTATAAGTACTTTAATATTGAATGGATATACTGGAATTTCAGGTAAAAGTATTGGGATATTGGGAGAAACTATCACCTATTTGGTTGATGAACAACTTGTCCAAACTCTTTTTACTATGTAGAGGATTCTTCTATGAAAATTCGATCAATCCTTCATTTTTATGCACTTCAAATTTTCAAGTGTATGTGCATATTACCAACTTAAATTAATTTAAGTTTGTAAGATCTGGTGTATCTGGTTGTTCCTGGATAGTTCGTAGTTGTCATACATAACCATGTTCTTATCAGGAGTCACGAGCAGGGTACTTATGTTCGATAAGATCTGGTGCTTCTCTATTCCTCCATAGTTTATCACATTTACTTTTATGAGGTCTAACATGATAATCATATTTCCAGTTTCTATCTTGTTATGGCATTAGATTGATTACCTGTGCTCCATTAATGAACTCACTGTTCAAGAATATGAAAGTTTTAGGGAGGTTAAATATCAAGTAAGAGCTGTCATTAATATCCCAGTATTCTGGTGGCTCCATTAAATGTTTATATTGTGTTAAAGAACACACACTTTGCATTGAGAGAAACTGTGGCGATCAATCACTAATGATGTTGCTGCCCAAGTCTTATACATAGTGGGGGTTTCGGAGGGTCTAATGTATGCATCCTTATTCCGTGTAGTGTTTATCACTAATTAGAGGGTCGTGGCTCTACATCACAATACAGGAACAGTCTGTTATAGCAACCATTTGTTCTTCGCTTCATTCGTCAAGTGACACTGGTTTGGAATTTTGGGTGTGAAAGAGGAACATGTTTTACGAATGTGCATTGGTTTTGCGAATAAAATATTAAGCGTCTTGTGTGTGGTGAAAGCTTTGTTTGTCCACAACAATCAACGAACTTTTTGCTTCTATTTATTCCGTATGTGCATTTTTGTCCTCTCCAAGCTTAAAGCTTAGGACGGACAAACATACGATTGGTTTCGGTCAAATGGATGGTTGTTTTTTCACCTTAGGATTGTCTTTGAATTTCATGTTCTGTCATTATAGAGTGCATAAACGATAATGTCCGTCTCTTTCTCTTCTTTCCCTCCTGTATTCATGGTTTTGCAGTGCTAGTAGTTTTTCCAACAACTATGACGAAGACGAGGCTTTTGCACAAGGCACAGGCTCAGCTTATGAACATGATTATTCAATGGAGGCAGAGAATGCTACCTACTATAATTATCGCACTCACATGAAAATAACACCGAGAATCAAATGGTCAAAACAAGACACGGAACTCTTTTATGAGGTAAATCGTCTAGTGTCTACTTGCTCTGCTTGTCATTAACAGACACTATTGCTATATGCAGTTGAGATTTGCAAGAACATTCCTATTTCCCTTTGTAAATTACTCCCTCCGTCCCAAAATGATTGTCCACAATTGAATAGGCACTCAGTTTTAGAGAGGTATAATTATTTACACTTTTTAGTTAACCAAATGACAATTTTATGTCTTCGTCAACTCTTAAATATTTGTGCATTACTTAAGGGTAGATTTGGAAATCTAGTTATTTATTTTTGAAACTGGACACTTATTTTGGGACAAACATAAATAGAAATGTGGACGCTTATTTTGGGGCCGAGGGAGAAGTGCCTTTGTTGATTGATCAACCAACGATTACATGCTTTTCCTGGTACTTTACTATCCAAGTGGCGGACCTAGGATTTTTGTGGAGCGGGTGCACCTGGTGGATCAAAGGCCGCAAAGTCACCAGATGTGTTTTTAGCCGAATTCCACCGTTTTGAGGGATTTCTTTAAGTTTTTTGTTTGATTTCGATGGACCTTTTTAGGTTTTTTGGTTGATGTTCCTTGTTTTTTCTAATATCTTGGAGCACCTCTCAAATTTTAGAGGGTGCACCTTTCATACCCCAAGAAGAATTCTACTTGCGGAAGTCGGTTGAGTGGGTGCACGGGACCCCGCTCGGCCTTCATAGGTCTGCCTCTGCGAGTGAAGTTCTGCTTCCAGTTTGCTTAATTGGATAAATGTGTTTTTGTTGTCCTTCAAAGCATTTTAATACGAATTTGAGTTCCCATACTGCAGGCCATTCAGCAATTTGGGACAGATCTATCAATGATAAAAGAATGTTTTCCTGGGCGGACTCGTGAGCAGATTAAAGCCAAGTATAAAAAAGAAGAACGACAACAACCTTTAAGGCTTAGTGATGCTCTAACCACTCGTGCTAAAGGTAACATCTACTTCCACCAGTACTAAGCCATCCCATCAATCAATACTCTACTTTAACCTTTTGCGTTCGCTATTTTTTTCTTGAAAGCGTGCGTGTCATCTTCTAAAGCATATATCGCCCCAATATTTTATTCTAAGGTCCTAGAATCATAACAAGTAGTAGATAAAACTAAAACTGGAAAAGGAAATGATGAACAACAGTTAGGAAAACGAAAGAGAATAACGCCATGCAAAATTCAACACAGCTAAAACCAAACAACATACTGTATTTTCTATTTATTCTTATATCATGTCTTTTCTTATGATATTTTAGGTCATTCTCAATTTGAAGTTGTAATTGAGCGGCTAAAACAAGCCCAAGCACAAGATTCTGAGAATGACGACCCAACTAATCTGACAGGCGAGGAGGACGAAGATGTGACTGCTACTGACATCAATGTATGACCTTCGTTTTCTTTAGGGAAATTGACCAAAATAGACAATCTCCTCATCAAATTCACTTTTTAGCCATTTTTGGCGTCAAATTCCCATTTTAGCCAAAGTATATGCAAATGCCTTGTGCACTTACGTAAAGCCTATTTTCAGATAAAAAAGAAAAAGAAAAAGAAATTATGGAAATGGGGATCCTTACGCAAATTTGCATAAAGATTTTTTTTTCCTTTTTTTTAATCTGAAAGTAGGCTTTACGCAAACGGTTAAGGCATTCTCCGGCTAAAATGGGAATTAAAATGTCTAAAAAGTGACTTTGGTTGATGGGATTGGCTATTTTAGTCAAATTTTCTTTTCTTCATCTCCTTTTAAGAAGTACCTATGTGAAGTTTGACAATCATATGTGCATTGTGAATACAATTACTCAAAACTGTCATGTAGGGTACATCCATAGGTACAATAGGCAACCTAAAAATGCACTTTCTCGCTTTCTGGTTATCGAAGAAGTAAGATTGTTTTGGGTTAACAGCCACGAAAATTCCCATTGGTCCTAAGGAGACTCAAACTGATGATCTATAAGGAGGAGCTCCCAACCCTAGTCTTTATTTGCCAGAGTCAGCCCATGGTGGTGATAAATTTTTAACCTAGCCGGGTATATGCTAATAATGAAATGAAAGCAATTTGTAGAATAGTGCAACACAAAAGCGAATATAGAAAGCTGAATCCCCTATCTCCTAAGTCAAGATGTATCCAGGCTAGCGCAACTAGCAAATAAACGCTATGCGTCGGGGCTCTTCTCCATAGGTCGCTAGTTCGAGTCTCCTCAGAGGCACTGAGATCTTTTTGGATGTTATCTTCAGGGGACTAGTCAAGATGTGCACATGCTGGCATAGACACCACGATTAACCAAAAGAAAGTATTCTATATCTAGCAGCTATTCCCATGAAAACGAAACAAAATCTGGACTGAACAATATTGCTGCATAGTGTTATATAATCATCGTATGATATATTGAACTTTGTACATCTTTTGAGAATCTGTTCTAACCTTTCTTTGTCATTGTTTCCTAAATTGTTTGTTTTACAGGCTGGTTTGGATGCAACAAAACCTGTAGAGTTACAAAAAGAAGTGGAAACTGATACTAAGTTTGAGGACAGTGAAGATGAAATGGACTGGAGTCAATATAAAAGTGAAGTATGAGAAAGAGATCTAAAACAAACCCCCCCTTCATTCTTGCAATATTTTGGTTTCTTTGATTCCATAGAACTTGTAACCGGTCGTCGTCTGTAGGGCCATAATCGGTCTCAATCATTTATGGGTCGGGTTCAAGCTAGTCATTGCTATGTATTATGATAGTATTAGGTGGTGTTAAACAAACTCTTTAGATCAAATATATATAGTATGTATATATATGTTTGATTTTGATATTTATATAAGAGATAATTTACAGTGTTATTATACATATTTTTTAATATCAGAATCAGATCAAATCATGTATTTGGGATGTAAAAAGTAAGTTTTGGTGTTATGTTTGTGGATAGAAATTTAGTAGATAAAGGTATGTTTAGTTATATGTAGTGGTATATTTAGGGTTTAGGGTGTATTTAGCTCACCCCTCATGTACATATATAGGTAGGTGTTTAGACAAGAGCATCCATGTTTTGTGAAATTGCGAGAATAGTTTCGAGCCTCCAAATTAGTTAACCCATTATTAAATTTATAATAAATGAAAATAGAAAATTAAGGGTTTAATATAATCATGTATTTTCATCAATTTTATGTTTATCTTAACTGTTTATATTTAACCCTTAATTTATATATAGCACAATTGATTACAATATCACACCAAATTTTATGTTCATCAATGTCGCCGACATACATTTTCTTTACCGTTGATATAAAATCACATGTGATTTTGTTTGTGATTTGATCGTTTTCATATTCACTTAAAAGTTAGCATTCCCGTTTGATTCTCTCTCTATATATAAAGTCATATTCAAGAGTATACCGTAAAAGAAAAAAAAAACTGAGGAACACCCTAGATATCATTCAACTGGACGGTAAACAAATGTCCGTACAAGTAATTTTTAAGCAATTTGTCCAATACACACACATACATAAAAACCAAGAAATAACTTCATTACTCGTATACATATATACATACCGTTCATATGAATAATTAAAAGAGTGTTTACTCACATTTTCAATTTTAAATTTAGTTTTCCCTTTAACCTTACTATATGATTTGTTTTGCTTTATTCCCCATGGGACTCCTAAATTGTACATCAAGTACCATGTCACTTGTACTTTAGGGTTTATGCTTGCATCTCCAAAATGATTTATTTGAGTGAATTATCTTTTTGTTTTTACGTTTCTCGTTCACCGTCTTGATCCTTCTTTTAAATTAATTATAGTTTTGGTCATGGTTGTCAATTTATTTCACTTTTTTTTATTAACCTGGATATCCAACCCGCTATGCGAGCCGACTAATTTCAGGACGACCACCTGCTTTACAGATAGTCCGGAGTCACCGCGTTTGAACTTACGTGGCCACAAGGGAATGTATTTCACTTTTGTTTTATCTGATTAAGTATAATTAAAAAGGTTAGTTAACTTTTTTCTTTTTCTTTTCTAATGATTAGCAATCGTTTTTGTTTGAGTTTTTAAATGTTTGAAACTTTTAAACATACTTAAAATGTCACTTAAAAATTCGAACAAGATGACAAGTTTTTTATATATGTAACATGAAGTTGGTACAAAACTAGTACCAACTAAAAAATTTGATACCAAATAAAATTGATTAGTGTACAATATAAAATTTTGTCTATCAATTATAATTAATTCGTAGTATGTATTAGAAAAAGAACTGATTCGGTTCATTTTAGCAGACAATGTTGCATATATAGTTACAAGTGTGATAATGAATATCTTTTTTGTTGAAAATGACATGAATTTCTTTGCAAACTAAAAATGTTATTAACAGATAAAATTAAGATCCCGTTTGGTGTATGAAATTTGATATGATTTGAATTAAATTCCATTCATCGAATCCTATATTTGGTTCAAAAAAATGCTTGGATTTCAAATTTCACGATTTCGTTATAATCCCTCGAACATATGATTTAGAAATTAGTTGGTATTTCGGGATTTCATGAGATTGTTTGTAATAACGTTTTTACAAACATTTGTTTAGTAATAATCAATCAATCAAAAGATAATTTTAACTGTTTTTTTATAGTTTATATATGTAAAATATTTTTAATTCTCTTCTAAACCTTATAAACCAAACACACCACAGACTCTAATTAAATCTTAAACGTTCCAAAAGGGGTTCATATGTTTTTCTACCACCTTTTTTTGACGGGTGATAGAGATGAATTTTTTTGGGTTTCAACAAGATCACAAAATCGATTCTTTTGTATGTTTTGTGTGTGTGATCGACGACCAAAGAGGGGGAGAGGCAAAACTGATTTTTGAATCGAAAGAACTCAAACCTCAGCAAACTCCAGTGACCCACTTTCCTCCTCTCTTCTTTTCTTCATTCCATTCCCCCTCGCTATCGATCGTCGGTTATTGTCCCAGGCGAGGAACTGCTTGTATCATACCTGATTCTCGCACAGCAAAAAATGAAAAAAAATGCACATATACATGATCATTGGTCAAGCTCCTATGTATCTTTACTTATCTATTATGTAATATGTAATCTGTAATCTGAATTGGTAAAGAAAATAGATAAAAGGCAAAATATCCAAAAATGGATCGTGGAATTTACGAGTTCGGATTTTCTTGCTTATGAGTTTTGGTACCATTTTTATTCCAACTTGATTGTCTGTTTGTATTATTAATTAACAAATAGGGGAGATTATTTGTCTCAACCGTCTGATTTGATAATGGTACAAAAACGTCTGATCCAACGCTTAGAAGAATATTTGGTCATAGCCTTAGAATAGTTATATCTGAATTATTGCATTTGATATTCGGCTATGAAATAGGTATTGTTATCCGAACTAAGTTTTTTACAAACCGGATTTCATGTTTGGATTTCGTTTAAGAACTCGGATCTCAATAGTTAGATCTAATACTCGGATTTGTCACTTGGGACTTAATGTTTGGCATCAAATCTCCAATTTGATGTTTCTTCAATTTTTTTTTATTAACCCGGATATCCAACCCGCTATGCAAGCTGACTAATCCCAGGGCGACCACCTGCTTTGCAGATAGCCAGGAGTCAACGCATTTGAACTTCGGTGGCCACAAGAGGATTTTTATTCCTCCTTGGATTTGAACCTGGGAACTCCTGGTACTATTTAACCTTTGAAGTCACGCTCAAACCAATCAGGCACCACCCTTGTGGTTATGTTTTCTTCATTTGAATTCAAGAATCCAAATGTAACTTGTCATATGTTCATTCAGACTTGATTTTAAAGAGCCAAAATACTCTACTTTTGTATCATCTGAATCTTTACACTTCATGAGTAGTCATGCTGGAATCCAATATGTAGTTTATGTTTTGAAAAGATAGATAGGATTTTTCTTATGTAAAAGTCTTATAATTATCTGTCTTGATCCAATAACAAAAGGTCTTCAACAAAATCAAAGACTAGTTGAAGTGAGGCTAATATCGACACCAAAGAGGATTGGATTGCCACCTAACCAAAAAGTCAAAAGTAGTTTGACAAATACTACTTTTGACAAGCTAAATTTGGAGTGCAAACTTGTCGAGCAAGTTTAGCTCACCAACTCTTACCAACTTTCATCCTAGTATAGGAACATGTTTAGCATGTCAGACAAAGTAAGTTATAAAATGGTATTTTATTAGTATTATACTTTCTTTATTGTTCCCTTTGCATACAGAAAGATGGGTTGGGTTAACAAATGTCTACATCAACTTCAAAAGCTGAAATGAGAAGTACAAACATGCACTGATCAAACAAAATCAGATAAAGACCACACGTTAAAGTTAGACAACAACATTTAATGCATTGATGGCTATAAAAGGTCACCGTTGTCATTTATTGCAACTCACTCATTTTGAAAGGAATTCTAACGACTATACAAACACATCTTATATTAGTCATTATCATTCCAAGACCAACATTTTATTCTATAGATTTGTATAATTTTAAGAGTGCGAAAAAGTATCGTGTCAGTTATCAGTTTTATGAATATATATAATTTATTTATGCATAACGAGATATAAACGTTGTACAATATAGTAAAAATAGACAACACAATATCGATGACCAAAATCCGACGATGAGCACTGGAAACACAAATTATTGCCTGAGTTTTCCGATGACAAGGAAAATCGTAGGTAATCCTTCGATCATGTAAATGTTTACCAACGAATTATCGATGACGATTAAAAATAATAAATAAATAAATAAATCAGTTATTTAAAATCTACCAGTGATCCATGCACGAGTATTCTAAAGGAGTAAAGTTTGTTGTATAATAATAATTAAACATTTTAATATATTTATGTGATATTTGGGTGGATATAATTAAAAAAAAATACAAAAATGGTAACAAATATATGGATTGCTCCTCCAAGGAACAATCTCCAAAAACCATGAATTACAAATATATTTTTAATGCTATTTATATTGAGATCTGAACAAGATCCAAGTTTCATTGCCCAATTTATAAACACTTCATACTTAATTAATAAATATTATTACTTTTACTTTTTCTTTTTCTTTTTGTTATATATATATATATATATATATATACTAGAAGAGTATTCATGCAATGCAGCGAGACACATCTCGATTTTAATGTTCTATTCTATTATTTGTCTCTGTCGACGTTATAATACGATTTTATGTGTTCTTAATAAATTTAATTTTGAATAAATATAAATTTGAAGAAAAAAAAATATCAATATTAATATCAAATCAACTATAATGAAATAATTTATTTTTTGTTTAATAATATAATATTTTATAAAGATAATAATCAAGTATTCTGTTAAACCTCAATGATTATCCTAATTATATTTTCGAATTTTTATATTTAAAATGAGATGTTTATCTTCAATTTGATTATGTTTATCTGCAGTTAGTTACACAAATTCATATATGTAGCTTTAATAAGTTACGTACAATTTATTTGTAATCTTGAGTTTTAAATAATCTGCATTAATAAACAATACTTTACGCATAAAAAATGGTTTTTAAGAGTTTTTGTCGAATGCTTTATAATATAGGGGGTATATATATATACAAAAAAAAAGAGAAAATATTACAGCTATATGAAATTAAAAATAATAATCACAAGGGCGATGTCTGATTGGTTTAACTTTGGGTTCCAAAGGTCAAAAGTGTCGGGAGATCTCAGGTTTAAATTCAAGAAGGAATAAAAATCCCTTTTATGACCATGGAGGTTCAAATGCGGTGTCTCCGAACTAGTAGGTTGGATATTCAGATTAATAAAAAAAAATAATTCAAATGATGAGTTTGAACAATTAATTATGGAAATAGTTAAGAGATGTTTGATAATAAATACAAAAAGGGGGTGAATTGGAATTCCTTCAACTGCAAATATTTGTACAAAATACAGAAACAGTTAAACGACTTCTTTACACACTTCCATTTCTTAAACTACAACCTCCATTAATCTCCAAATTACTAATTAATTAATTTTAATTAATTAAAAATACCCCCCAAAAACTCCTCCTTCAATTCAATTCCTTAATAATTAATCTCTCCTTCGTTAATCCATACCATTTTACTTGTATTCATGATGCCTTCCTGCAAAACCAAACATTACTAATTAAACATCAGCTTATAATATATATATATATATAGGTTGGTTATTATACAACCCTTGTCATTTGTGCAACCAATACAACACAATCTCAACCGTCTATTTCATTTGATTAATATGTGATTTTATAGAGGTTTTGATTATTTCTTAATATAAAGTATTAATCATAATTAATGAACCGTATTCATCTTCTATAAATATTTAAATCATAATAAATGAACTCTAATCATTTCCATAAATATTTTAATTTAGTGGGTTGCATTGATTGTACAAATGCAATAGGTTGTATTTGAAATAAACCCTATATATATATATATATATATATATATATATATATACTAGAAGGGTATCCGTGCAATGCATCGAGACACATTTCCATTTCAATGTTTCGTTTTATTTTTTATCTACGTCGATATAATACGATTTTATATGGTTTTGAAAAAAGAGATAATGTTTCTATTTTTGAATAAAATATAAATTTGTAAAAAATATACCAATATTAGTATCAAATTAACGATTTAAAAGTTATTGTTTGTGTATTTTTTTAATTCAAATTTTTTATTATAATTTAATTTAAAAAATCTTAATTACCCGGTAATAACGAGACAAGGACCAAGAGTCTAAGAACTTACTGATGAATTCTCAATGTAAATGTATAATTTAATTTAAAAAATATATCAATATTAGTATCAAAGTAACTTAATTTAGGTTTAATAATATATTTTTATAAAGATAATAACTAAGTATTCTGTTACAACTCAATGATTATCCAAATAATATTTTTGATTTTGTATATTTAAAGTGAGATGTTTATCCTTTATTTGATTATGTTTATCTGCAGTTAGTTACACGAATTCAAATATGGGACTTTAATAAGTTGTATTTATGCACAATTTACTTGTAATCTTGAATTTTAAGTAATATGCATCAATAAACATAACTTCGTGCATAAAAAATATTTTTAAGAGTTTTTGTTAAATGATTTATAATATATTTTATATATATATGATGATGATGATGATGATGAAGAAGATGGGTACCTGTGAAGTTGGGAGTGTAATTGAAGGGTAGGTTTGATCTTTGTTTCATGAATGGTCTCTAAACCTCCATGATTCTTATGTTGACTTTTCCGAAGTCTAAACTTCTCTCTCCACCATCGTGTTCCTGAAGACGAGTTCTTGCAGCTGTTATAACCATCATCATCGTCACCACCTGCAAGAAGCTCATCTCTGAGAGTTACCTTCGAATTCATCTCCTTCAATGGCGGAAGTTTGAAGAAGACTTCATCTGCAGAGTTTGCAGAGAAACTGGGAACACAAAACTCGAAATCCGAAGACACAGGAGCTTCTCTGTAACTCATGTTTTCATGGTGGTTTTTTGATTCCACAAAATCATTTGAGAAGGAGATTCTTGGACCCATAAACAACCCTTTTTCCTTCTTCATTTGCTGCTGCTGCTGCTGCTGTTGTTGTTGCTGCATGTTTAAGCATGCCATTGATATATATATATAAACTTGATTTGATGCTCTGAAAAACACACACACACACACACTGCTTTATGGTTTTCCTTAAGCAATACATAGCGGGTAGAGGTTAGCACTATTTATATATGCACTACTCTCCTTATTTAATTATTTTTCTATTAATTTTTTAATGTTGGGAGATTAATAATTAAGGCCTGAAAATAGACTGTCTGTCTGTCTGGTTAGAAAAATGATGTACCTGTACGTACAATACAAAGGCCTACTACCTCTATAAGCCAACGAGTAGTTAAGAAAGTAGGACTCCTCAAAATACGCATCATTACATGACAAAATTTCAATCCTTTCCTTAGTGGCCAACCCTAAAATCCCATCTCCTTTTACATATACAACCCAACCCTCAAATTTAAGTTTTTTTTTTTTATTAACCTGGATATTCAATCCATGATGCGAGCTAACTAATCCCAAAACGACCACCTGTTTTGTAGATAGCCCGGAGTCATCGCATTTGAACATGGCCACACGAGGATTTTTATTCCTCCTTAGATTTGAACCTGAGACTTCCTGGTACTTTTGACATTTAGAGCTAAGCTCAAACCAATCAGGCACCACCGTTGTGGTTTGAAATTTAAGTTTTGGATTATGTATTGTTAGAAATTCTGGTTTTCGATTGTTTGGATTCCACTGAAAGTTGTGTATCACTTTCAAATTGAAATATTTCGATGGTACAATCGAAATTTCAATCGGATAAAAATTCAGTAACTCGAACTGATAATCGATGTTATGAATCTATGTACCCTTGAAAAACAAATGACCAAATACGAAAAATGAATTCGAAAACTGTCAAAACGGCAGTTTCAAAAACCCTAAACCGGGTTTAAAAAACCGGGGCCAAAATTAAAAATTCGGATTTTCGTGCATTTTCCATATAGTAACATCGACCCCAGCCAGGGGCTGCCACCCCTTGGACCTCGCCACCGGGGGCGCTACCCCCGGACCCCCGTCGTTTAGGGGCGGCTTCAGCTTCACCCCTAAATCAAAATAAACCAGGGCCAAATGTACACTCCGCACATTCCTTACTTGTTCGATATTTATAATGATTACATTGGTCAACACATTAATCTCGTTACACTTAAATGATATTAGTGATACAAATCATTAGCATGTATTGCTTCGGGTTTGGGTGATCGTTTTCTTCGGTTTTAGGTTTAGGTATAGTTATATGCAAAAAAAAAATATATATATATATATATATATATATATCCAATCAACTGAGAGGATTAAAGAAATCGATAGTAGGTTTAGAAATTCGAAAAAAAATACGGCCGACTAAGATTTATAATTTTAAAAAAATAATTAGATAAATAAATATATTATATAATATTTAAAAATTATATATAGGATTTTCTGATAGATCGGGTGGCCAAAAAACAAACCCAAATATCCGCCAAAATCGGTTTTCGACAATTCTGACTAGGATATTGTATTAACATTGCAATGGTAATATATATTAAGATTTTAATGTTAATTTAAGTTAAAGGGTTGTAATTTGTATGGTATATAACTTATATCCTATGTATGTTTAGAATTATTAATATATATTAAGGTTGAATATTTTCATATTAACTCGTATTATAACCCTGAAAATCGTAAACGTCATTATAATAGATGTTAAGGTATGTCAACGTATATGCCATTTACATCTTTACCTTCGAAGTTCCGGTTATTACCAAATGTCACCACGTCTTTCTGGGACATTAGATCATGAGGTAATGCGGATAAACATAATCAAGTAAATGATAAACATCTCATTTTAAAATATAAAAAATCTAAAATATAATTAGGATAATTATCGAGTTCTAACAAAACAATTAGTTATTATCCTTATAAGAAAATTATATTATTTAACCAAATATAAATTAATTCGTTATTGAACATAAATTAAACTATAATTAAAAAATTAAATTAAAAAATTACACAAAGAATGAAGAATTTTTAATAGTTAATATGATACTAATATCGATATATTTTTGTCAAACTTTTATAATATCTTCAAATTTATATTTTATTCAAAAATAAAATTGTTTTTTTCAAAATCATATTAGATCATATTATAATATCGACTGAGATAAAGAATACAATGAAATATTAAAATCAAGATGTATATCGTTGCATTGCATCGGTACCCCTCTAGTAAATATATAATATACAAGTATTTTAAAGTTATTAACCATAAATACTTTATATAGTTAATTTTTTGGCTGAAATATTTACGAGTCATATTTAATATATATATATATAATATTGTTTTTGCAAATTAAAAAGTAGGGACAAAAATATAAAAATTTAATGTCACCGACGTGAATGCACCATTCAATATATAAGGCTCCACGTTCATTCAAGTATGTTGTTAAGTCATCGTCGTTCTACTGGAAAATTAATATAATGTCTTTTTTATATTTTTTAATAAATTATTCATATATATATATATATATATATATTTTTTGTATTAATTGGAACTATGTTATTTTTGTTAATTATATAATATACAAGTAGGATATATTTCAAATACAATCATGTTCATTTGTACAACTAATACAATCCAATTAATTGAGATATTTATAAAAATGATGAGAATTTATTTATTATGATTTGAATATTTATAAAAAATAACTAGAGTTCATTAATTATGGTCAATACTTTATATTAGAAAACAACCAAAACTTTTATGAAATCACATATTCATCAAATTAAATAAACGGTTGAGATTGAGTTGTATTGGTTATACAAATATAAATGATTGTATAATAACTCACCTCTATACAAGTATTTTTAAGTTATTGATGATTAATTTGATGGTAATTACGTTTTAAATGACAATTTAATATGAGACTGATTGACTGATAAAAACAAATTTATTCAGATATTTAATTGAAAAAAAAAATACAAAAATGGAGTAATATTCTTTATCTATTTTCCCATAATGTACAATAACTATATATTGATGTTACATCAAATTTATTCTTGTTTTTCTCTCTCACACACAATATGTGATTGTAATTATTCACATGTTTCAAAATGTAATAATAATTACAACATTCAGCAAGTGTATAGTTAAAAAAAAAAGATTATTAGAACCACAAGAGTGATGTCTGGATGGTTTGAGCTTGACTCCAAAGGTCAAAAGTACCAGGAGGTCTCAGATTCAAATCGAAGAAGGAATAAAAATCCTCTTTGTGGCCACGGAGGTTCAAATACGGTGACTGTAGACTATCTGCAAAGAAGATGGTCGCTCTGAAATTAGTTGGGTTGCATAGCGGATTAGATATCCAAGTTAATAAAAAAAGGATGAATAGTCATATGTGCGTTTATATTTGATAACAGTGTAATAAAAAATAAGAAAACTGTAAACACGTATAAAAATAGTTGGTTTTCCACTATAATGCTATTTCAGATATAGAGAGGTTCATGCATGATAATGAATTGATAGATTCAAATTGATAATCAATATTTTGATTTTTCATTTGTGTTATTTTTAATAAAAATAATAATAAATGAATAAATAAATAATATAACTTAATATATAAGTAAATAAAATGGGAAACAATTTGTATATCTATACTATATTATAAAACATTTGATAAAAACTTTTAAAAACCACTTTTTATGCGTAAAGTACTGTTTATTAATGCATATTACTTAAAACTCAATATTGCAAGTAGATTGTACGTAAGTACAACTTATTAAAGCTCCATATCTGAATTCGTGTAACTAACTGCTGATAAAGATGATCAAATACATGACAAACATCTCATTTTAAATATAAAAAATCTAAAATATAATTAAGATAAGTATTGAGTTCTAACAGAATACTTAATTATTATCTTTATAAAATGTTATATTATTAAACTAAAAATAAATTATTTCATTATTAAATTTAAATTAAATTATTAATAAAAAATAAATTAAAGAAATTACATAAAAATGAAAGCTTTTAAATAGTTGATTTGATATTAACATTGATTATTTTTTAAATTTTTATGATATCTTCAAATTTATATTTTATTAAAAAATAAAATCATTATTGTTTTCTTAAAAACACATAAAATCGTATTATAACATTGACAGAGACAAATAATAAAATAAAACATTAAAATCGAAATATGTCTCGCTATTTTGTACAAATATTCTTCTAGTAAATATTAATGCATGAATTAATCGTTTGATATGGCAGAAAGAGACAAATGAAAACATCAATAATTGGTTTTTGAAGAGAAAAAAAAAGGGTGAAAGATTTGGAAATATGGATTGACGATTGGAACTTTAATCACATGCAAAACTCCAAAAATTATTATTTTTTAATTCCAAAAAATAAAAATAAAAATAATTTATTTAATAAAAAATGGAAGATGAAAGAGTTGGGGAGATGACCATTTGAGATGGTGAATAGACAGATGAAAAAGGCAAAAAAAAAAAGTTTATGCATCAAAAAAATGTTATCTTGAATTGAATTGAATATAGATATGGCAGTGGCAGTCAATGAGCTGGCTGGCTGTGTAGAGCAAGATGCTCCTTTGACCACGTAATTACTGGGTCAAAGGTCACCCTCACCCAATCCACCATCACTTTCCTTTCTAACAAACCTAGATACTCTATAATCTATATCTCATCTATCAGTAATATACAGATATATTAAAATCAGAATCAGTTTAAATCATGTATTGTAAAAAGTATATTTTTATATATTAATTTCCTTTACACATATATTAACATGAAGACTTTTACATTCTCAATGTATGATTGAACCTGATTATGACATAAAAAATGGTGCATATAGTAAGAGGCTGTTTGACACTTGTTGAATGGTTTGGTGCTGAATGATTAAGTGGTCAAAATGATTAAAAGCATCTCATGATATAGTGCAAAATGAAATATAATTGTCTGATAATTGTTTACAATGAAATTAAGATGCTGAATGGTTAACGGAGAACATGGATACAAAACCATTCAGAAGGTTTTAGAACCATTAAGAGACAGACGTTTTTTTACCAAACAAGATTTACTTCTTAACGATTCAGATAATGTCTTTTAATGAAACTATTAAGAGGTAAACAAACAACCCCTAATTCTGTAAAATATATTATTTCTATGGAAGATGAGGTCCGAAAAGATATATTTCATCTGAAAGTATGGTCTGAAAAGAAAGGTGGGTTAAATACACCCCTATATATTTGTTAAATGTACCTAGTAATTTCTTTAACACAAACCAACATCAAAACTCGTTTTTTTATATTCTCAATGCATAATTTGACTTAATTTTGACATTAAAGGGGGTGCAGATAGCAATACCTAAAAAAATAAGGATGGTCTAAATGCACATTTACCTACTAATTTACTTTTCACACGTATCAACATTAAAACTTACTTTTTCTTTCCTAACACATGATTTGACGTGCGTACCCAAAATAAAATGTTATTGACACCAAAGAGGCAATCATTTTTTTTGGGGGAAAGGGATAAAAACAAAACCATCAAATCTTTGAAGAAAAGATGAAAGATTTCATATCTTGCCAAGCCTTGTATTTTGTTTGTTATTCATTCCTGCAGCTAAAAGACATGATGGTTCAGAAACATGTAGAGCAAAACCTACAGTCACTGCTTTCAATTCACACACTATTCACACCTACATCAATAAACTCCAATCCCATGTCATCAAACACCCACTCATCCATCTCTAAGATCACCATCAACATCATACCAAATCCAACTCAAACTGCCTGTCTGCACCAATATAAATCCAACAATTGAAGGTCCTTTCGCCTTAAATAAGTTTTCAATTTGGAGCATGACCTTTTTTTTTTAACTCATGACCATCATCGGACCTGCTCTTAGCGTAAAAACAACGTTCTCCCGAGAAAACTTCCAAATACACTCGGGGGTCATTTTGGAAAACCAGCTCCAACAATGGACTAGATTCTCCAAAAGCTCCATTAATGTTTAATGGACTTCCAGCAATCTGTTAGAAACTAACATGAAAACTAGATACACTAATAACATGGAGAAATGATTCCTTCTTTCTTTGTCCTTTTGATTACCAAGTACAGAGCATCACATGGTTTATCCACTTTTCTGTAGGAATTTTGAATGAAATGTCTACAAGTGGCTGATTCCCCTCCCTCCATTCAGTAGATGTAAAACTAACAAAGGGGCAATGAATTGCGTAGAAAACAAAGCTTGGTCTAAAGGCATTTGTTCCTTTTTCTGGTCTGCTAAACAGTCTACACCTTTTGTTTTTATTGCTCTTACTTCTTTATTTTTACCTCTGTCCACATAGATCTGTGTTGTCTAAGGCACATTTAGCTATGTCAGATCACAAACTCACATTTACATTTCTTAATCTGGTGCATTGCATGTTGCTTTATAGTTTTGTCAAACTAATCGTTTTATATTACTATCTCTAATTTAAAGAAATGCCATATGCCACCCATGTTCAAGGGGGGTTTTCTTAAACTACAGGCAAAAAACTTGGCTCAAAGATCTAAACCTAGAAACTTATAATATAACCCTAGTTAGGCTTTAGATCTGCACTATCTTATTATAACATAACCTAATCAAGGCCTCATATTAAGGCGAGAAAAAGCAAGCTAGAGTATGTTCCAAGGATCTAGTAGTAGACATTCATGACTCGGGGAGTGATTGGCTAGGGGAGGCCTCTTATACCATCGATTAATATATGGTCCCATCAATACAGCTAAGGCTGCTGATGACCGATGAAAATGATGCATTCACTTGCAAGTAGTCTTTTAAGGGACTGTTTACTACCGCTAAACGCCTCTTAGTGCTTACCCGGTAAGAGGGGTTGTTTATCAATACACTCTGACCCACAAATATGTTGAAAAAGATGCTAACCTAGTAAGAAAGGTGTTGCTTTCTAACTCAGAGCTTACCCAGACACTTGGTAAACAACCATGTTCAGTCAGCAGTTACCCATACCGAACATCTTACACCAAACCATACTCTTACTAGGTTAGTGCTTACCCAATTTGCGTTGGTAAATATCCCCTCAGTTCAAGCGTGCCTGTGCTGTGAGTATGCAGAGTTACTCTAAGAAGAATATGCATACATAGCTAGATGTTGTATGCAATACAACTGTATGGTTTTTGGTCCATGCTAATTTGAAACTTTTGAGCTGAACTGAATAAAAATTTAAGTGAGCCAAGCTCAATGTACCTCTAACAAGTTGGCCCATTTGGGTTATAAAGTTTTTTGTTTCCTTTTGCTCACAAACCTCCATCTTTCTGATGCTACCATTATCTAGTGTGACTACATTGACAAGATGACTATCAAATCTGTCACCTTCAGAATAACAACCTACCCACACATAACTGTGCATACCACATGCACTTCCTCATATCAAGAGTTCTGCCTTCCAAGTGATATCTTCATTTAGTTTGTTGATAAATTAATCTAATAATAATATTGAAGCTAGATACAGTTGTTGGGCCTCCCATCTACCAACTTAAGCTTTCAAATTAATTGACTACCTACGAGGGTGTTCTGGTTCAGAGTTAGGAAATGTTAACTTCAAATCTTTCGACCTGTGCTTCATTCCTTTGTGTTGTATGTGCAATTTGATTCTATGACGTTCTGTGTACAAATAGATCGATCGTTTTGCAACAATTTGTAAAGTTACTTTTTTTAAACTAGTAGGTCACATCTCACAAGTTCGGATCACAAATAGACTCTTTGCAAAATGCGAGAGAAATACACCAAGTTCGGATCACAAATAGACTCAGGAGCCTTGATGCACCAAGGTCACCAATTAAGATTAATGTGCAACAATGCAACTATGTAGGACTTACCACAGGCAAGCTAGGATCACAGCTGACAGTGTTGAAGCTAAGCATTGTTATTATGCTCTCCAACTGCAGTCTCAAGCCTATAGATGAGTTGGCTATCTAACACAAATGTTAATATTAGTATAAGAACGATAACCAAAAAATCTACACTATTTACCGAACCAACCAGACAAGTTTGTATACTGCTTGCGTCTCCTTTAGCAGAAAAATAACCATTCTTGAATGAAACCTGCTGGAGTGTTAAGAGTTTCATAGCAAATAGGAGGCATTTTTAAGTGTAAATACCAAACCAACCAAACACATAATCCACACTCTCTCTTTAGTTTGCAAAAAGAGACGATCATAAGTATGTTTTGTTTCAAAGAAAAGGCCACCTAATAGGTCAATGTAGCATTGACTCAGGTTCAAGATCAGGGTCCACAGAGATTGATTAGAAAACAAAATACATAGCAAGACAAGAACAGGAAAATTATTGACTTAAAATCCACTATGGGAAGTGGGAAGGATAAGATAACTTGAATCCAAATAAAGATCCTATAAGGCCCTGTATGGACAAATTTACTTCAGAATTGACTTTGTTCTTGTTCTTAGATCAGATAACACAAACAAATATGTCAAATCAAGATTCTGGACAATTTAGATGGGGTACGGGTACCTTTAATCACTTGTTACTTGTGTCACCTACCAATCTGTATAATTTTAGTTTCCTCATAGAAATTGAAAAAAATACATATAGAAGACTAATTATGGAGGAAATAAATAAATACTCCCTTCACCCTTGTAAAGAGTGCATGTTGCCACAACTCTTTGTCCCAGAGAAATTCGGGTTTTGAAACTCAACATAAAGATAATTTGATGATCCCAAATTACCCTTCATTCCTATAATGGATAGTCATTTTGTTAATTTGTTTTGATTATGTGTACAAGTGTCTCAATATATGGTGTTTAAGTTCCTTCTAGAATTTAAATGGAGTCTAATTTTCAGGATGAAAGGATAAAATAAATAGAAAAGGGAACAAAAATGAATGGAACATGCAAAAACTTAACAAGCTTTTTTTCCTTTAAGCATGGAGAAGATATATATATTTTAGCTTAGATAATATGTGAATAGCGTAAATAGAAGTTCAAATCTAAGAAATAAAGAGAATTATAACATCAACTCTTCAGCTGTACAAGATGGTTTCCGATCATGTTGGAATTTTACAGATGTTATGCCTGTTTATTGACTGCATCATGCCATGCCTACCCTTGGGTTTATGCTTTAGCATTTTGCAGCAACAGTGCCTTCCACTTACAGCCAAAATCAAAACTTCTGCCAAGCTATCATCTGTTCTACCCTATAACTAATGCGGCAACATACTGGTAATAGACATTAAAATATTTGCATCAACAGCAGTAAATCAGAATACACTGATGGAGCTATATATAACCAATGTGCAAAGGAAACAATTAGTTAAGTGAAAGACACGTAAAAGAATTTAACTGAATTTATGCAAAATCATCATCATCATCTACATGACTAGAAGAGAGTCGCTTTTGAGGCAAATAATTTTCAAGAGAAGGTTTAGGTTTTGATGCTACATGAGCTATACCTCCTATTGGTCTTCCTATAAACTCCTTGGGTGTCCACTGCGAAGTCTTACCGAAAGTTGGTAGCTTGCTTCTGATGGACCCACTATTAGAACTAGTATACGGTATTGTCTGTTGACGTTTAGATGAGATCACATAACTTTTGTTCGAGTTACCCCTTGATGAGTGTGTATCTGCATTTGCTTCATCCGTCTTTGACCTAACTACTGATTCCACAGGTACAAGCTTTCCACTAATTTGGTTTGTAAAAACAAAAGTGACCTGCAGCAATATGAACATATCCATTATTCCACAACATCAAACTAGATTTTTTCTACACTCCATTTTCACACAAATATCATGTCAATGAATTAAGATGAACTATATGAATGGAATCGGTTTTACCTCCGATACGAAGATATATAGATTTTCAATACTCGTTTTATATGCACTGAGATACCTAATTACACAAAACTCAAACATATATGCAAACAGTTTGGGCTTAATATGTATTTATGGCTGAGGACAAACCCTAAATATATAGTACATTGTACAACATGTGGGTCTGTAGGCCTGAACAGAAGAACATATGATAATATTATGGATAACGAACAACGAACACAGATTTATGTGGTCCGCCTGATAAGGATACATCCATGGGGAGCAATATTCACTATAAGAAGAAAACATATATTCAAAAGCAGATAGAACATCTATTAGACTCCAATACACATGTAATCCTAGTAGGACTAACTCGGTACATATCCCAGTAGCAAAAAGTTAAGGATGTTTGATTATATATAGACCTCCATTGTTTTCATTGTAGCTTTGCTCCCCAACTCACAGGAGAGTCTAATGTAGGGTTAGAAAACTAAACAGAGACGTCCAATATAGGTTAGGAATCAATGCATCACCTGACCATACCCTAAATCTAAATCTATCTCCTAAAATGCTCCTCAAGTTGGAAGATAGATATCGACGATTCACAGCTTGACAAAGCAAATAACTTTGGAACAAGCATATAATGCTCTGATACTCTTCTTAAGAGTACTATGAAAAAACATTCTTGAAACCGAACTGACAGTGCCTCTAACTAAGTAATTGCATACTCAACAAGCAGCAGCACATCAGGTCAAATTACTGATGTGATGGCACATCAGCTCAACATGTTGGACCTTCAACATAGAGTTTTGATGTTTCAGAAATGTCGAAGTACCCCCTTACAACTTTCGGAAACCAAAAAACACCATAATATTATGTCAAAGATCAAACGTGAGGCTGAGAAAGCTCTGATGACCTCCATGGTGGTCATGCTTGGCTGAAATGTAGATGGAAAGTTGATCCACACAAAGGGTAATGGCAACCAAATCAAGATCATGTCCTGCTGAATTGTCCCAGCAGAAAAGGGGTGGAGTTTCCATGACATGGTATCGTATTTAAATCTGGCCCCATCTACCCTGCCGTAGAACACCGTGATTTACCTCCCCATGATGGTCAGGGGACCAGTACAGTGGGGCACTCTAGAGAGTAGAACAAACCCTTTTTCCATAACCAAATCAAGATCAGCAAGGGAATGCACAGGTGGTGGTGCTCCGTTGTGGAGAATCAGGGGGTCATTTTAAAGGCAGTAGATTGCTCCCAGGGAGTCATGCAGCAACAGAAAGCTTTGACAAAGCTGTCGAGTGCATATTAAAGGACATGAAGCCTCAGCAAGGGCTGCAAGATTAGGTCTCAGATCATGAGGCTTGTGAAGCTTCAATTGCCTGGTACTCAATGGCAAGACTCAGGAGATCTCTAATAAAGTTGTCAAAGGCAGGCAGTGTTCACTGGAGGTGGCAGAGGGATGTCAAAGCCACACATGATGAATGTCGAGGAGCTCCAGTGAACCGATCTGCAGGCACAGACCCTTGTATTATAATTTGGCTGCAAAGAAATTGAGGACCTTTGTTTAGAGTCATGTTTAGGCAATAACGACTGACAAGGTCATGGGAAGGTAGCGGAAGCAACAAGGATTGTAAGGGCTTCAGGAAGCAATGGGGTACTCCAACAAGGTTGTATGAGAGCGGAGAGTGTAAGACATTGTAAAATCAAGGTTGGAAACACGTTTGTCGATATCTGAAATCACTACATCAAGGCCAAAACAAAGAAACACGTACACATGTCAATGATAAACCCAAGTTCATACACAGCTAGGTATGACCATGGAAAAGGCTAAATTCGCACATGATTGTACCATGTTCTGACCTCGAGACTTCAATGCCATGTGACTAGTGGAGTCCCACATCACTAGACTTGGACTATTTCTCCACCCGCCCCTGGCAACAAATATGCATGAACCATGCTTGCATATCCATCATTTGAGTCTCCAACGATTATTCCAATAAGAGCTAGCTGGTTATATTTTGGAATCTCCCTTCTCTTTCAAGGATTCTTTTAGAGAGTAAATTTGGGAGTTCCGCATATTCTTAAAGGACACATTTGACATTTGATGTTTTATTTCAAAAATTAATTGTATTTGATATAGCATCCCGCTGTTTCAGTTCCAAGGTTCTCCTTAAATTGTAAGCAATCATTTTTGTGATAACCAGGACAGATGAGCAATCATAATTGAACTCTCATCATGGTTACGTGAACCTGCTAGGATTAAGCTCAAGCTTTCTCCCAAAATTCATGTCTATGACAGTTCGGAATTTGTAATTACCTCATCTCCAGCTGATGCTTGAAAAATTGTATCAGGTACGGTACTGGGGGAAGAATGATGACCCCAGCTAGCTAGATCCTCTTCCAACGGGGTACCCACCTGGAGGATCAGAATAGATTATTTGGGAAAGTATAGCATTTAGCCAAGTAAACTACAGCTGAGCATGTTGCGGATTCGGCATTCATATATTATTCTATTTACCTGTTTCTCTGAGCTTCTTAAGTTATGCAAGCATCCAGAAATACCTGCAAATCCCCCAATATCCTCTTCATCAGACTGACAACCTTCATTTGGAGGTCCAACACAATCCCCCATGCCCGCATTAGGCGTTTCATCTGCTGCTTGTCCTCCAGAGTTCTGACAGCGTGTGCAGATCAATTTCTCATGAATGTCAGACCTGCAAAAATAGCATCAACCAGAAAAATTTATCAAGCTATGATATTATATCCCCAGAAAAACTTATCAAGCTATGAAAGCCAATGACCACACGCTAACCATGACTCAGGCCAAGGTGACAGGGAATGGCACATAAAACCATAGATTCAGATTATAAGAAATAGTAATTATTTTAATACTTATAATGCCATCATTATGGCTCCTTCAGATAATAGTAGGGCTCCTACATTAAGAGGGTTCGAAACATTCCCAAGTACTTTAATGAAGCACCAAGGTAGTATTTATTTTCAGGTGTTTTTATTTTTATCAAACAATCCAAACCTAGATATTTGCAACGGTATCATGCTACACCAGCTTAAGTGTTATGTGCATGTAAGTGAGTTAAGAAGTGAACAAGTGAGTTAGAGAGGGAGATTTGAGTTTTCCCCATCGAGGCCAATGATAGGCTAAGACAGCAGTGCGTTTCAGCAAATCTCCTCTCCAACCTGAATAGGTAATCTGAGACTCTCATGACCTAGTAATGTTTTATCTCCACTCATTTGATTTATACTTGCTTTGCACTCTCTATTACCTACGTTATCCCTGCATCAAAACCAAAACTTCAACCTCTTCGGTAGTTTTGTTAGCCAAGGCAGCCAAGCCTTTTTAGAATCCCATGTTTAACCTCGACAGGTGCCGAAGATCTTGTCCCCAGTTCGTCCCCTACTACGTATAGTCTCTTCTTCTACTAGTAAATTAGTATGTATTTACATATGAAGATTACTGTGTAATTTTCCTAAATTCACCACTTCCTTGAATCATTTTCTCTCTTTTTCTTCTCTTAGGTCCAATATGAAAGAAAACTTACTATCTCCAAGATTCCAACCTAGGAAGAAGAGTCACCACTTGGAGAAGGTATAAGAAGCTCCACACCTCCCTAACCATGTACAACTCTCTCTCTTATTTGGATTAAATGTTCCCCTTTTTCCTGAATGATATGGACCTATATTCATAAACTTCCATCCATCAGTAGTGTGCAAAGTATATAATTTACAAACCAGCAAATCAGTCACTAGCTGGTAATACTAACCAAGACTTTTCATACATCAAATATACAGTTTTGATTAAAAAAAGTAAAGCTTGCCTTGCATCCTCATGAAATGTAAATAGATCCCGTAAATCCTCTGTCGAAAGATTGTTCCCCTGCATTCATGAGGTGTGATTATTCCTTCAGGACATTCGCATATGTTCAAAAAGAAGAAGTAACAAACACCTGGATCTTGGAATCAGCTTGCTCTTGTTGAATTACTTTTTGAAGCCCTTCCTTCGACATCTGACGCTGGTACACCTGCAGGATACCAGATCCCATCAAACTGGCTCCACGGTAAATTTCACACCAAACACTGACTTTATCCTTGCTTAGTTGAACTGAGAAAAGGAAAAGCAATAGTAAAACAGTACAAAAATTCGAGCATGGGATATATCTACTACCTTTTCTTCAATGGTCCCAGTGCTCAAAAACCTATAGATGTATACTCTCTTCTTCTGCCCATCTCTCCAGACTCTTGCGGCAGCCTACATGGGAAGTAAAAATAGCAAAGAGGGAAAATTAACTTATCCCTATAAAGAAGAATGATTGTCAAAAACTTCAATAAAGAGTTCAGTGTCTAAGTACTTGTTTGTCATTGGCAGGATTCCAATCGGGATCAAACAGAACAAGTCTATTTCCTCCTATCAAGTTGAGGCCACATCCACCAGCCTTGCTGCTCAAAAGAAATGCAAACTCGTCCTGCAAGATGATGAAGCGTATTGTTCAATGGGAGCAGTGACACATGTAACTTTTTTTAAATGATAAACGGAAGAAATTTTGAATACCTTTGATGGATCATTGAAGCAGTTGACCAGCTTTTGTCTTTTGCTGATTGATGTAGTCCCATCAAGCCTTAAGAATGGATACCTTCTTTCTCGACATAATTGAACAATAAGGTCCAGGGTCTGAAGAATGAAAGATAATATGGTCAGCATAAAAGACTTGGGAAGCAGAACTGAAATAGAAGAGGCAAGGGAAATAACTAGCACCTTAAACATTCATAACTATTTGAAGTTCCAACCACTATAATTGAACTCCTAAATAAACAAACTAATGCAAGTGCATATAAGAAAAGTATGAAACCATGTTCCAATAAACTTGTTTGACGTCAGTTTTCATGTGGCAGATAAATATACGAACTAACCAGATTAGCCAATAGGCATATCCAAAAGCTGGATGCCTGGAAATAAGCTTAACTAGAACCAAAGCTAGGTAAGGTTTTGCCTCTCTTGCCCCCTATAATTATTGGGAACATTTCGAAAGCAATAAATGTAGAATGACAACAATGACATTTTTGTGGGTTTACTGAAAGTGCCATAGCATAAGAATTCAAAAGGATCTCCCTGTTTTATTTCTAGCAAGTGCTATCAGATAATAATTGTAACCCAAAAAAGATGAATTTTAAAAATGCTTCTACCAGTTGACTGAAGCTTCATTTGAAGAATTTCATCCGTAATTCCATATTCCACACAGTTTGCACAGATTGGATGATGCACATTGTGACTTTCAGTTCCCGAACATGGGTTCTAATCCTCAAATATTGTATTCACTCAATATAAGTTCATAGTGGTTGTCCCTGATTTTGGTAGCTCCGTTAGCAAATTGCGTTGCCATTTGAAATTTGAACTATGACCAAAACTTCAAAGGTAGTATTTCAATGTTAGCTGAAGTTCACTATTTTTTTTTTTTTTTTTGAAAGGGAAGGATGAACTGAACAGTGAAACTAAATGAACAAAGAAGATGCTCAAAAAGTAATAAGCTCTAACAAGAAGCTACAGTGCCTGATGGCACAAGAATACTCAACACTAAAGATACAGATAATAGGCAAATAACAACCTATCTTCTAAAACTCAAATCTGCAAACCTGTGTATAATTTGAAACCAATACGATTCGGTCATCTGTTCTCTTACGCAGCTGAGCCAACAAACGAGCCAAGACATGCATCTTCCCTGATAGTTCAACCCATGCTCCTTCACCACCGGTCCAAGATCCAGATCTAACATATTAACAGAAGAGAAGATAAATTCAAAAATAGTGTACAAGAAGGCAGAACTGGAGTAGCATATTTTTTTATAGGGACTAGTAGCTATTATAGATGGGGGAGGGGTGGAGAGCCTAGATATAGGTTAGCAATGTCATATGTCATGGTTGGAGTAAGACTATCTGGCCTTAGTTCTTCGTCTTAAGTGGGTTGGTAATTTAGTACTTTATCCCAGCTTTACTTGCTTTGGCTTATTTTAACTTCTTTCTTGTAGATGTCCTTACTGCTGTTATTGTTTGATGTGCTTGTTGTCTGCTTGCTTGCACACTTTTTATGGTAACTTTTTCCTATGTCAAGCTTTGGAGTGTCTTCTCGAAATCATCATTTCGCAAAAAAAAGATCTTTTTGGCATATCCTTTGTCCCTCTAGTCTCTCCATCACATTTTCACAAGCTGGGGGTCTTCACGAAACAGCCTCTATCTCTTGGGATAGAGGAAAGGTCTGCCTACATCATACCCTCCCCAAACCCGACTTTGAGTGGGATATATTGTGTATATTTGGTTTGGTAAGAAGGCACAAAATAACTCAAGATGGTTTACCTTCCAGAGAACATTTCTGGAGGAAAGAAGCGCATACAGTCCTCAAACCCTGATGTCCCTGGGATCCCGCTTTTTATTGTATCATAAATCAGCTTCAATATAAGAAAATTGCATCAAAAAAAATATATATCCTATTAATCAAACACCACATGAACATTTTAGAGGGCACCGATGGCAGTGTAAAAGCAAAGATAGAGCACCTAGGGATCATGATCATCAAAGAAGATACACAATAGCCTAGAGACTACTCCATAGATAGTTGTAGTATGACTGAATACAAATGTTAAATTAGACAAGAATGATTGCTCCCTCCAAATTTCCTCTACATATCAGGTACCTCCAGATCAAAGTTAAAGAAATTTTGGAACACGATGCAAACAAATATTTTGACTTATGCTTAGCAAACATTTTCCCTTATGTACTTTAACTACATTAAATCCTTGTATGAGATTTACCTTAGATGGTTCATACACACACAATCAATGTGCACAAAGAAACACACAGGAAAGAGTAGTTTAGGAATATCAGAGACAATGCTGGAGGTAGACAGGGACCATACCAAAGCAAACAGTAGTCATTGAAAATTCTATGAGATGGTTGAACAAATCTCCCTCTTAGGGTACTAAAAAAATAAGAGAACTTTGATAGAAAACCCATGTTATAGGGGGGAAGACGGAGTTAACTTGATATGGCTTCTTTTCAGCTATTAACAAGACCTCGGTAATAATTCGCTTAAGCAAATAAAATACAAAATGGAACTTCAATGGCCTTACTTGCTCTGCAATAAAATTGGGCGGTATCACACCTAGTCTCATGAACTTCCTCAAGACTTCTCCTAAAGGATTAACTGAATCCAAATACCATTAAAGGAACCTAAATAATAACTAGAAATTTTTTGCATATATATTTATTTGTCATTCTACTTTTATAGCTTCACATCTCTTGAAAGGTGTAACATTGCATCATAAACAAAATGCTTGTATCATGTGGTAGAAAGTACAATAATGATACTTATTAAACATTTTGACAATGCAAGTATCATTGCATATACATGCAATAGATACTCATAAGAACAATTCTTTGAATAACATTTTACCTTTGGATGATTGCAAAGCTTCTTCAGAACAGTTATATATGCCAGAATTTTTGTTTGTTTCACTTCTTCAGCAATTGCTTTTTTCACCTACAGTCATTGTATAGAAAAAGAAAAATCATGTGTGTTCAAGTGTTCAATTTCAGACCACTATCAAGGAACATAGAAAGAACGTATGATTCTAATGCCGGGAGAAAAACTTACATTTTTTGAATGAATGAAATGATTGTACAGTTCTGTTTGGAGAGGAGTGAGCTTGCAACAAACAACCTCAACTATCTGCAAATTGCACTTATCCTTTAGCAAGAATATATAGATGAAAAACTAACAGTTTTACTATTGATGATCAAGGAAAAGCAAATAGAAACACAAGAAAATCAGGGGAAGAGCAAAATGGACATCTGTTCTGCATTATTTAACATGTTATGTGATTGTTGTAGGAAAGTGAAAATCAACAATAAGGATAAGAAGAGCTTAAATGGGTAACTAATTTGCCAATGAGCTCCAGAAAGCACATAATCTAAGTTCAGATTGTATACCAAAAACAACTGTGTGGATGTGTAACTGTGTACGTAAATAAACACCATATGATAGAGATAGCTTAGACAGGATTTCTTTGGTTCAACATAAAAGTTCAAGACAGCCACATTAGTAACAACTTTCCAGAATCTAGATATTAAACACATAAAAATAAAGTGAGCCAACCATACCAAATATTTTATTTCGTTAAGATGCAGTGAATAGATGTATTTTCATGCACTCCTCAATATGCAAGAGAGTACAAAGTCGATATGAAGAAAGCTCAATAGACAGATAACTACCATAAATTGCAAATATAATTTCATACCTTCGGTGGTAAGTGATTGGATAGCAATGCATTAGTCCTCCTCAATATAAACTGTCAACACAAGTCTCAAGGATGAGCAGATGCAGAAAACAAGTTCACATCCTCAGACAAGCCTAAGATGCTGAAAACCAAACTGCTTCTTGCAAGTTCCTAAATCTATGATATGTCAATACGACAAGATTACCTGATTCACCTTCGCACTCAATTCTGCTGAGCGCTCATTGGCAAGATGCTTATCTTCTTCAGAGGCAGTAGGTTCTCTTCCACAAATGATTGGTGTCTTGAGATCAGTAACGTAAAATTTTGTACACAGAAGAAAAGTTCAAGTTATAACAAAAGAAACTTAAACTAGACATTGATTATTCTCCAGATATTTCCACTTGTGATCCATTGTTAAGTGATGTGCCTAACCAGCAACCCAACTTTATACTATGCAATATCTATAATGTCCAAACCTACCACAGCTCAAATACATGATTATTAGTTTTGAGATTGATCGGATATATGATAAGTAACAACTAAAAGCTTCATAAGTTAGCTGACCTCATAATAACGTCGAAAAAACGCAGCGTCGCCCAAAATCCCTGGGTTAGTGAAGTTGACCATGGCAAAAAACTCTTCTAGGTGATTCTGGTGATTTAACATAAGAATGGAAGGGGAGATTGTGTTACAAAACAGACAGAAGAAGTGACAGCAACGAGTACTTTATACTCCCCCATCCCATAATAAGTGCAACAATTTCCATTTTGGGTTGTCCTATAATAAGTGCAACTTTTCCTTTATTTTGAAAATTTTTAAGCTAAATTACCTATTTGCCAATTTTAGTTGCTATAAAATGTTGATAGTATTGATTGTGTTACGCTCCACGAGATTTCTATATGTTGTTGCTGAAAGGCATTTTAGACATTGGACTCTAGTCGAACATTTTTACAGAATTATGTGTGAGGCAAATGTTGCCATTTTATGGGAGGGGGAGTAATAACTAGAATATTCCTCACTTGCATTGGAGTCCCAGACAATAAAATGCGTCGTTTGCAAGATAGAGCTGCCAATGCCTGATTCAACAAAATAGGCCCAAAGATTAGGTGTTAAGATACTTAAAATCTGAATTTGAATTATTTACAAAATTACTACTCTTACTCTATTAGTCAGTGTCTGGTCATTTTTCAGCCTGTGTGCTTCATCACATATGAGAAGATCACAAGAACCACTATCGTTGAATTTTGATGAATGCATGCGAAATGTCTCATAAGAAACGATTAGTACCTGGCAGAGTATCAGTGTCAGTTGGTGTCTACTTCTGGCATCAGAAAACTTTAAAAGACCTCTACCTGTAATTTGCTGTGTGGACTTCTGAAGTTATCAATGCTCGAGATGACATCTTCACGAATACTTTCACATAGAGCAACAAGCTTAACTCTTTCACCAATCCATTTCTTAATTTCTGCCTCCCAGTTGCTTACTAGACTGGTAGGAGTTACGATTATTGCCTTCCTAACCATTGGCTTTCCACCAAATCCCTGACGAAGAAGAGTATACAGCAGTGTAATTGACTGTAAAGTCTTCCCCAACCTATGTAAAAGGGCACGAGAGTGCAAGTTGGAAACAGAATTGCATACAAAACAGTCAATGTACTTCATCACAGAATCATGAGAGATACCAAGTAATATTTACCCCATGTCATCAGCTAGAATGCAGCCGTTGATATCAGCAGAGCATAGACCTGAAACACATTCAAACATAAACTGGACCCCTTCTCTGCAATACAATTCAACTATTTGTAAGTCATTGATCAAAACACGACTTATACAAGAACATGCAAGCCACTGATATTTCATATTATACTTGCATGCCATTGCTGGAATCTAAATAGATATTAGTATTTTGGAACAAACTTGAAATGAAAGAATAGTGTAAAATATACTATATCATCAAAAGATTTTTTGATTTAATGAAATACGGGATGCATTTAGAAAACCAAAAGCACCTCAAACGGTGGAAGTGCTAGAGTGGTGATTCCCATACCTGTTAGTTAGAACTTGTAGTTACTAGCTGTCAAGTTTTGCACCAGGTACGATGGGCATTACATCCTTACAGTGGATGCTCAGATATTAATTTGTTGTTAATCTCAGAGACATACTTAGGACAAGGTCGGCTGGGTTGATGGTGACTACTTAACTAAGATGTAAAACAGGATCACCTTTTGTTCCCAATGGGGTTGTCTTGATTAGATTTTTTGAATAAACCATAAATTACATGCATAATGAAAGGGAGATACTCATTTACTTATTTTTACATGGAGGATGTAATTCTTTTTCCAATTCTATCGTATTTGATCATGCTACTCAAAAACTATTGTCTTCCCTTGGTCCTTTTTAATAATCTAAACAAAATACACATACACCAGTACATGTTCCTACTTCCTAGATGCTGAGATAGACCCCGAAGTACATGGGATTACATGGCATTTCTAATCCAATGTCCTGCATTTATAAATTGTCTAATTATATGAAGTACCTTTGATGGGGTCGAAGGAACTTGACAAGTATATGATCCACTTCTATAGGTATTGAATTGCCATCTCCATCTTCAGATTTTTCAGGCTGCCATAAGATCAATGGTTCAATTTCTGGTGGCAAGCTGGTACTCTCTTCTGGCACTTCCTCCTCCACAGAAATAGGAACGTTCACCCTGTTTGTAATGGGAAGCAAAGCTGGTCTGTTTGAACCCCAAGGTACAAACCGTTTACGAGCCCACAGGCGGCGAACCAGTTGTTCATTCTGATTGGAGTAGCCATCGGCAGAAGGAGGTTTAAAAGGCTTCTTAAGAACAGCTTCTCTTTCCGTCACCGAAAGAACTCGTGGAAGTAGTGACTGCCTTTTGACAATAAGATTTCCTCTGATTTCATAATCATAAATTCATGTTAGTTGCTTCAAAACGAACTTCAGAAAAACAGGATGCTTGCAAACAAACAATTGATCATTCCCTCCATCCCAAAAAACAAAACAGTAGAGCTGTGTAAGGTTTTAACGTTAAACATAGCATTTTCCAAATGCAGAATTCGGTACAAATCATGTTGCAAATTACCAGTCGACTTCCTTTTTTATTTTTACATGATAAAAATCTTAGTTTAGTTGGTAATTTTCTGCAAGGGTTTAAACTTCGTATTAAGTATCAAATAAAAATTAATTCAATGCAGCTCTTTTGTAAAAGGGGGGTAAGATTTTGCAAGTGATAAAACGAAGATGCCCCAGAGCTATAGATGCTATTAAGTTCCAAAAAACGCCCCATATTCCTGCAATTGTCGATCTAATACCTGCTAAACACACACACCCCCCTCTGTGTTCTACGAAGTTCCATAAGATTTTGTAACTCGAATGCCAAAAAATAAAAGAACTATGAACTTCCCCTTAAGCTATAAACCGGTGTACCTCAATAGAGCATCCACGTTCTGTGATTTTTGATGACTTGCAGCTGGTCGTGTGGCGTCATTCCCCTTACAATTTTCATCACTGCCAGATCTATATAAACCATCATCGCCATCTTCAGAGTCGTCGCAGGTGAAATCGTCGCTCGAATCGCTAGTCTCGGAGACAGATAAAACTTCTTCATCGTCTTCTTCCATAAAATTAGGGTTCTTTTTTTCAGAATTAAAACCAATTGTTCTGATTTTATATGGTGTGCTCAGTACAAAATCTCTGTTTCGAATCGATACCAAAATGGCGGTAAAATGTCGGCGCCTCTCTCGTTTGAACCGGGCCGGGTCATTACGGTAGTTAAATGGGTTTAAAACCGGTTTTCAGGAGGGGCGGGCCGGCGTACACCCGGGGCCAGGACTCATGGAAAATAAGGCCCAATTTTTTAAAATACTTAGGGCCCGTTGCTTACCTCTTGATATTAACAGGAATGGGTTATTTGTTTACCTCTTAATAGTTTTATTAACAGATAGTCTCTGAATCGTAAGAGATGAATCTTATTTGACAAAAAAAAAAATTGTCTCTTAATGATTTTAAAACCTTCTGAATGATTTTGTATAATGGGTTTCCCTTAACCATTCAGCACCATAATTCCATGGTAAACAATTATTGACCAATCATATTTTATTTTACACTATATCATGAGAGCCTCTTAATCATTCTGACTACTTAATCATTCTACACTAAACCATTCAACAACTGCCAAACAGCCTCGCAGTCTTTGAATCGTTAAGAGGTGAATCTTATTTAGCAAAAAAAAATTGTCTCTTAATGGTTTTAAAACCCTCTGAATGATTTTGTATCATGGGTCTCCTTTAACCATTCAGCACCCTAATTTCATTGTAAACAATTATCGAACAATTATATTATATTTTACAGTATATCACGAGAGTCTCTTAATCATTCTGACGATTTTATCATTTTATACCAAACCATTCAACAACTGTCAAATAGTCCCTTATTTGTAGTACAAAAAATTAGTAGATAAAAGAGATAAGTTTTTTTTTTATTTAATACAGCCAAAAAGAACTTGGAATTATATGATAGATCCAAACGTGTATTAATTAATTATATTACAAAAAATATATATAAAAATAAAAAAATTAATTGGTCATGAATTTATCGTTTATTATCTCTTTAGATTTTTATTTTAAATTATTTGCCTATAAAGTCTTGATATATTCTTCATTATTCATCTGAAAAGAATTACCAATTATATGAGATGGTCCAACTTATATCTATACTTATGATTTTAAAACTATATTTGTTTTTCATACATTATTGACTCCTTATTACATAGTATTTAGTGTATGAATTTCAAGTACTCTCATATCTCAAGTTATGACTGGCATAGTCTTTCGATTCTAAGATTGATGATTTCGAAGAAATAAAAATTGTTTTAACCATAAAAGTTTAAAACATCTGATAATTTTTTTTAACCTATAGTGAGATTGAAACTCAATTGATTTATATTAATTTACATAAAGTGTTACTTATAATAGTCAACATTGTGACTTTAAATGACGTCATTCTACTATAGTAAAAGTTGTGGGAGTTTATGATTATGATATAAAGTAAAGATTTTTATGCAAGTTTGTTTTGTAATTTAGAGTGTATTAGAATGTTATGTATGTTTGTATCACGATTTTGATTACATTATATTTTTAAGTATGTTTTTATCGTAAGTTTAACTATATGATTCCTCGGGATTATAGGATCCTATATTTCATTTAATAATTAATAAAATACTCTTATTTTATTTCGTATTGTTTAACTGCATCTATTCCTTTTTGAATTTTGTATGTGAGCTGGCATTTGTTTTACATATATTACTTTTCTATCATGCATCTATTCGGAAAGTATCTCTTCATCATTTATTGACATTTTATATTTATCTCGTAAAAAATGTCATAAAAATATGTTCTATTTCCCTAATCAAAGATTATGGATGGACTCAAGAATTTTTAGATACGGTGACATCATATAAAACGGTTGCATCTTCTAGAATAAAATGGTTGTATATTTCACGAACCTAATTTTTTTTACTTTACCACGGAGGAACAATATGGTAGCACGTATCACCTCTCATTTTGTGGTCGAAAGGGACTTGACCATGAAGTATGGGAATTCCATAAAGAACATACTTGTTATAGTTATTTGTGACTGAAGGGGAGCACGCACGATTAGCCCAACCACGTTAGGTAACGTTTGGTTTGTAGTTATCAAATGAATGTAATTGAATTGGAATGTTGAATTCTATTGGTCAAGTTTTATTCTCTTATTTGATTCTTTTTTTTTTTTACGAAATGAATCATCAAAATCCTACAAATTCCATAAATAAAAAAAATATAACATTTCTTAGCAACTGCATGGCATTTTGATGGAATGAAATTCTCTATTTTTATAATACCAAATATGCACTTAACCCAATATATTCTAATCTTATAAAACTCAATATGACCATCGTCAACCACCTTCTATCACCGCCGATCTAAATCACCGCCGACCACCTTCTATCATCGCCGATCTAAATCACCGCCGACCACCGTTATCTGAACCACCGCCGACCACCACCATTTGAACCACAATTAACTACCACCGATCTGAACTACCACCGACCACCACCCATATGAACTACCGCCAACCACTACCGATCTGAATCACTGTCGGCCACCATCTTTCACCGCCATCAGAACCACCATGGACTACTACCGATTTGAACCACTGTCAACCATTGTCATTTGAACCACCATGGACCACCATCAATCTGAATCACCGGCGGCCACCATCTTTCACCGCCATCAGAACCACCATGGACTACTACCGATTTGAACCACTGTCAGCCATCGCCATTTGAACCACCACAGACCACAATCAATATGAACCACCGCCAACTACCATCGATCTGAATCACTGCCGGCCACCATCTTTCACCGCCATCAGAACCACCATGGACTACTACCGATTTGAACCACTGTCGACCATCGCCATTTGAACCACCACGGACCACCATTAATCTGAACCACCGCCAACTACCATCGATCTGAATCATCGCCGGGCACCGTCAATGTGAACCACAGTCGACCATCACTGACTTGAACAATCATCAATCTGAACCACCGCAGATCTGAACCACATCCGACCATCACCACCTGAATCACTGCCGACCACCACTGATCTGAATCATTGTCGACCACCATGACTACCACCGCTCTGAATCATAGACGGACACCGCCGACCACCAACAGTTTGAACAACCACCGATCTGAACCACGACGCCACTGTTGATCTAAACCACTGTCTATATGAAACACCGCATACCACAACCGATCTGAATCATCGTCGGGCAGCGTCAACCACCAACGATTTGAATAACCACTTATTTGAACAACCATCGCCATCTGAACCACTGCAGACCACCACCGATCTAAACTACCGTGGACCACCAACGATCTGAACCACCATCATTCACCATTAATTTAGTAATGTTGCTTGGCTTATGGTTATATTTGGTTGTGTATTTTATATTGTTTTATATATTAAATAATTATTTTATAAATGTATTTTTAGTTTAAAAAAAATAAAAATTTCAAAAAAGGGCATTTTGGTCATTTACTAATATTTTATTCCAATTTCAAAGCTATATTTTGTGATCCAAACAAACAGATTCAAATTTTTTTTTTATCAAATTCCATCCCAATGTCTGCCAACCAAACAGGTGGTCAAACATGACAATATTTCATTTCAATTCCTTCACAGTCAAATTTTTCTAACATATTTCATTCCATCCAAAAACTTTTTACGAACCAAACGTCACCTTAGGGGGTTGAAAGTTCTTTAATCATATGCGGTTTATAGCACTAAAATCACATGTGATAGACATTCTTATGTTCTTTTACTTTGATTATGTTCTTGTTAATCATCCAAAATTTTTGTTTCACAAACACTACAAAAAGTTTCACATTATGAACCGAGTATATGTGAAACAAATATGTGTTAATAAATATTTCAAATTCTAATCTTAGATGAAAAAAAGTAATATAAAACAACACATGATGCATAGGTTATTAAGGTTACCACAATTTTATGGGTTCTTAAAAGAAGGTCTTGTATGTATGTATGTATGTATGTATGTATGTATGTATGTATGTATGTATGTATGTATGTATGTATGTATATATATATATATATATATGTGTGTGTGTGTGTGTGTGTATGGTCAGATTCAAGGAAAAACACTAAATAAATGGAAAACCGGAAAACCACGAAAAAAGGGACAAAAATGGATATCAATCCGGTGTCAAAGAAAAATATGATCGTTTTTTTGGTGTAATTTATTTCGCTCGGATTTTTTTATTTATTTTTTGTCCTTTTTCGAATAAAAAATAGGAGTGAGATTTTTTAATTTAAAAAACAATGTTGTAAGTGCCTAGTTCATCATATCCATTAGATCATCTAATCCCCTGAACCATCATATATACACACACGCACACACATATAGGGGTACTCGCGATTCGGTTTGGGCGGTAACCCCCAAACCACAATTCAAACCGCAATGGCGGTTTTGAGAAATTTCCAAGCTTAGCGGTTTGTCAGCAAGTGATCAAACCGGTCAAATCGAAACACAAAAAGGCGGTTTGGTCTGACCAATTTAGGCGGCTTTATCCTCTTATGAGTTTTAAACTTAGAAAAACATAACATATACATTCAAAATAAAATTTCTATCAATAGAACATTATTAATAAGTATATAATCGAATTATAAAAGATATTTTTATCTGAGCAAGTTAAAAAAAATGTTAAACAAATCCAATAACAATTGTTGGGAGTTTGGAGAAACATTGAGCAAGTCGAAAGACAATTCAAGAATTTTGAATTTGATTTTTGACGGGCTTCAGAATTTTGCCACTTTAGATGACGCGATCAATTGAGAAATGAAAACTAAACATAATTTATTGACGAACTTTTTTTAATTGTGCCGTAAAATTAAACTCATAACATGAAAACTAAATATGATTTATATATGTGTATTTTTGGTGATCGGTTCAGTTCAGACCACTCAAAAAAACATTCAACCGCATACCACATCGGACCGAACAGTTGGGCTATTTTTCAGACTGAACCGGACAGCTAGACCGCTCAAACCTTCAAAAACGGTCCGGTTTAATTTGGTTTGACTGGTTTGAATGGTCCAACGGTTTTTTTGAACACCCTTGCACACATATATAATATATTAAACCTTCATGCCGTTGGGGTTGGTTATTAGATTGTAGACCGGGTTATAATGACCGGTTTAGGTTTCTAATGGCTTAACTGGTTGGGTCGATCGGTTATGATCATAACCAGTTATGCTTCGAGCCCAGTTCCACTTACAATTCTGGCCCCTTTGCCCATATTTAATCGATATTAATAGGGATATCTTTTGAACCATTTAACGTACAATATGTAGCACAAATTTGACCAAATATTCATTTAAACCACAAACCAACCGTAAAACAGTAACAATAATAATAACAATCATATCTTCATGTTTTGGGTCATCATCGTCATGAACTCATCCATATCAATCACACCATCTTCATTCGCATCCACGGCTCGAACCATCTTCCGACAATCTTGCAAGCTACACCTTTCCCCAAGCCTCCTCATCAACTCATAAACTTCCTCCACGCTTATCCTACCATCGCCATCCAAATCAAACGTTCGAAACGCACTCTGCACGTCCACCGCCTTCACGCCACCACCTTTCTTCTGCACCTCCACAAACTCCTTGAAATCAATAAACCCGTCACCATCCAAATCCGCCACCTCAAATATCTTCTGTATGTCTCTCTCTGCACCCTCTTGTCGGAGTGCTTTAACTATGGCCTTATATTCGCCCCTCGATATCTTCCCATCTTTATCACGATCAAACTTGTCAAAAACGCGTTTCGTCTCGTTTATGTCCGGCTGGAACATAGGAATCCCAGAAAGTTGGCGGTCACCACCAGAGAACATCCGAGATGGTTTTCGAAGGAACTTGCGCTTCGAGATGCTATACTGGATGTCAAGAAAGCTCGTTTTTGACATATTTGGATCGAAAGAACAGGATAGACGGATAGAGCAGGAATATCGAAAAATATATGAAATGTAGACATATATGGCAAAAGGGGTATCATAAGGTAGAATATGATGTAAAGCAACTTGTTTGGAGATAGAAAGAATCAAAGGATGGTGGCATAACAACACATGGTCTACGATTAAAGTTACTATTGATTCCTTGTGTCATTTAAGAAACCATCCTTTTCAATTTTCAATCCATTATTAAGTATTTATAAATGAAGTTTAGTATGATAATATTCCACATTTTCGGTTTATTTATGTTTTTTTTTTCCTGTAGAATGCTAAACAAGAAAACGTAAATTACAAAAAAAAAAAAAAAAAAATTGTACGACCGAACTTTTGGATATCGCTTATATTTACATCTGTTGTATAAAAATCGTTACATACTTTTGTTTTGTATGTCATAAATCCGTAACATGAATATTTTGGATATATATATATAGGGGCCTATTCAAGAGAGAACTGAGTCGTTTGTGGTAACTGTGAGAACCAATATTAACCACAAATCAATAGATAAATTAGGAAATTTATAAATTTGGTAATTTTAAATTAAAATCTTAATGCAAGGATATTTTTGGTATTTTAAAACTCTCCTCTCTCCTCTCTTCTCTCTCCGGCCACCGGCCACCGTCCTCCGGTAATACCACTATGATACCACCGTGATACCTAAAAATATTGACTATGTTAAACAAAAGATACATTGTGATACCTAATCATATATAAGATGCATAGTGATACCACTGTGTTACATCTTCGATCGATCATACAAACGACATCAATGTGATACCCAAGCACATATATGATGCATTRTGATACCATTGTAGTATCACCGGAGGACGGTGGCCGGAGGACGATGGCCGGAGAGAGAGAAGAGAGGAGGGAGGAAAGTTGTAAAATAGCAAAAATATCCTTGCATTAAAATTTTAATTCAAAATTGCCAAAATTATAAATTTTCTAATTTATCTATTGATTTGTGGTTAATATTGGTTCTCACAGTTACCACAAACTAATTAGTTCTCATTTGATTAGGCCCCTATATATATATATATATATATATAGACTTGGAATCATGTGAGATCAAAGGTTTTTTGTGAGACTCGTAAGACCAATTTTCAACCCTTGGATTAGATCTACAATCTGAACATTCATAATTACAAAATTGCCCCGAGACTTCTCAATAATCACAAAGCTGCCACCGTACAACTTTAGATCATTAGCTTATAAAGTTGATCAATGAATATAAATTGATCTTACGGATCTCACGAAAAACCCTTGGTCTCACGTGAACCCAACTATATATATATATATATATATATATATATATATATACACACACACACTTGTATAATCTTCATCCTAGGAAATATTCGTATCAAAAATCATGTAGTGCGACTAAAACGAAAGAATGGACATTGTAACTTAATGACCAAAAAACCAATAAGTAGTATATAAATTTTTGTGTTAATATAAATGCCGAACACAAATCATAAATAATCAGTTGGAGATATTCTTACGAACCAAACATAATCACATCCTTTCAAAATATTAATCATCATTTATACTACCAACCAAATATTAATGATATTATATTACCAAAATACCTTTATTTCTTTATCAGATCAGTGGTTTTTTTAAAAATGAACTTTTTGTGTTGGCAGATGGACTGGTCGCTATCAGTCTTTGTTTATGGCATTATAGATATCGACTCAACAATAAAGTTTGGATTCAAAACGAGCATATTTTTTTCTTCGAATTTATGGGTCTTTGGTCAAATGGGTTAAGTTTTTTGCTTAGGAAGTTACCAAGTTCAAATCTATCCAAGTCTTTACCTTGGGGTCTTCCAAATCCAGTTTAAGCTAATTCACTAGAAATGACTGCCACTACAGATTACGCGGTCATCAAGTTCAACTATATCCAAGTTTTTACCTTGACACCTCCACTATGGATCACACAGTCATCGAGTTCAATTCTATCCAAGTCTTTACCTCGATTCCTCTGTTGGTCCGAATCTCTAGCTACAATACAGGGAATACTATCTCATTCCAATCGACTCTTATGCTTATGGATCTATTTTGTTACAGTCTAAATTACATGACATAAACTGCATGACCAACGTACTCGAAACATCTCAATAAATATGCCATAACCGCATGTAAAATCCAGAAGCTCAACATAGAGCAAAACAAACCGGACAAATGTCCCCAAGACTTGTCTGAGTCAAACCGAACCAAAGGCTCAACATCACGATTGACTATTCAATAAAAGTCATCAGAAACAATAAAACATACTTAACTAACGTTTATAATATATGCTTAAAATGCATGATTAACTCAAAAACACATCATTAGTTGGAACAGATCATTTTCCAATTAAATGATATTGTTTATATTCCCAAAATCTCCGATAACACAATAAAATACGTTCTCCAAACGGTTTATAAAACCAAATACAATAAAGTGCATTTACATCGAAAATCTTCATCTGTACACTAAATCACCAAAGGTTCGCATTGTTGAGATTTGTTTATCAAAATATCCAAAAACCTAAATATAAGTATTTCACAAGATTTACCAACTCAAATTTACCAAATATGCAAACTTCGTTAAATACTCAACACATTTGGTAAATTAATTAAAACACTATAATACTTTAAAGTACTCATTTTGACATGTTCATGGTTTTCACAAAGCAACTTGAACTCACCTTACTAGGTTAAGTTAAACCTAGATTCCAAACCCCAAAGCTTGCTTCCAATGATGAAGATTTCATCATCTTCAACAAGGACCTAGGGTTTCCAAACCAACCATTTCCTTAAGTCTCAAAATCAACCACTACACGAGCATAAACTTTAGATCTTCAAAGATATTCAAAACATTTCATTCCCCAAGTACAAGTAACATCTCTTTCCAAAATGTGACCATTTTACATAAAACACTCCCAAAGATAAACATAATCAAATACACTTAAATTCTATGATTCAAGCCCCAGAATAGCGTTTGTGTACCTAATAAACCCTAAACCCTAAAACGTTATTAAAAACCCAACATTAGCAAAAAGGGTAAAAACCCCCGATTCTCCGAAAATATCAAATTTTGGTCAAAATCCATGGATGTGTAAAATACACAAGAGAGATGTTCTAGGATATTTTGACGAGTATAAAAGTTTTGAAATGTTAGAATAACTTATAAATGAGTTTTTAGGGAAATCCCAAAATTTGGTCGATGAAAGGATGATGAAGAACTTCATCTTGTATTTCAACCCACAAGACTTGAATCTCTATTTGCGAAACTCTTAAGATGCTCTGGAAGAAATCTATTTGGAGGTGGAAGTGTTCTTCGACCGAAAACGAGAAAGGTAGAGAGAAGTGAGTTGGTGAAGAAGAAATAAAGAAAATGACTGAAAATCGGATTTTAAAGGCGCTGTAGGGCCCAAAAACTTTTTGTCCAAATGCTCGCAGGCGCAAGCAAAATAACTGCATGGGAGCGAGCAGTGTATATATAAGTTTCTTCCCACTTTTTTGAGGTTTGTTTGCGGGCGCGAACAAAATTGTCGAGTTGCAGAGCACATAATTTTCGACCAAAAATTAATTTTTTGCCAAATACGATATCCAACTCAACCAACACTCACAATACTTCCAAAAAGACTACTTTAAAGCTAAAATACATACAAAACTTGAAATTATGGATACTAAAACTCTTGGTCAAAAGTATCAGGAGGTCCTAGGTTCAAATCCAGGAGAAATAAAAATCCCCTAGTGGCCACATAGGTTCAAATGCGGTGACTCCGGGCTATCTGCAAAGCAGGTAGTCGCCCTGTGATTAGTCGGCTCGCATAACGAGTTGGATATCCAGGTTAATCAAAAAAAATCTGGATGTTACAATTGTCGTTTTGGTTTTTGGGCTGTTACAATTTAAACACACACGTTTATCCAAAATAAAGAAGATGATAACATGACAACGTACAAAATATTAAAACCAATTACGTATATCAACAATAAAGTCCTACGACTTTGATCTCTTTGCATCCTTATCCACCCTGACGAAAATACCCAAAGATCTCAAACGTTATGGTGGTGATAACGTAGTGATTTGTGATGATGATTGTTAGACAAAGATAGAGGGGGAAGGTTCCCGTGTTATAACGGTTAACATAAAATTGACGTTTAATAATTTGTAATCTTATCGGATTTTGTATCGAGTGTTTGTGTAATTGTTTAAAGACACATAGCAATACAACATTTTAGTACCCAATTAGATTATTTTATGCAACAATAAAATTTAATAAAAATTATTATTTAGAGAAAATTAAAATATGTTTTTGTTTTAGTAAAATATAACGAAATATTATAGTTAAAATATATCTTGTTGCATTGTGCGAATACCCTTCTAATAGTTATTAAATCATATGTCAACTCTATTCCTTAAAACAAACGAGATTTATTATTTTTAAGATAATTTTTTTTATAAAAAACATAACATTTCTTATTTTTGAGAGAGTTTTAAAAAGAATTTCCCAATTTTTTCCGTTCTTCCATTTTCACATTTTGGAAGCTGTTGGAGTGCTTAACCCCCATCTCCCACCCAATCTACAGTCTACACTTCGCCGCCTATTGTAGCTTGCTTCGCCTGTTGCGCACGGCGTCTCCGGCGAATAAACAGCCGTTCACTTCTGCAACTTTCCTCCCAAAGGTATTATTCTTATCATCATATTCTCCTCTTTCTCTCAAGCCTTCTAATCTTCTACTGTCTCGTTTTTCCGTCTTCAGTTTTGACCCTATGAAAGTATTTGAACCCTAATTCCCTAAATTTGTGTTGCACCAAATTGTTACAATTTATTCTACCTGATGCCTATTTTTGGGAAGTTGAATATTTGTTTTAATTTCATTTGCAGATATGAAGGTGTACGAGATATCTGGACCAACTCTGGCTGTTGCTCTCTTCACTGAAGTCTCTAATTCCAAGTACTCTTCTGTCCATTTCTCTATTTTTTTGCAAAATTTATGAGTGTCTGTGATTCTGTAGCTTGAAACTGTTTATACATGTCTGGTACTCGTAATTGAGAAGTACCACGTGCTTACAATGAAGATATAATTTGGTCAATTTGAATGAATTTACATATCTTTTTAGTTTTAGGGTCGATCATTTACTGCTTATACATGTTTCTACTCTTAATTAACTACTTAAAACCGTGTTCAATGTTTTCTGTTTCCTTCATAATTGTTGTATCATGGTGATTATCGATCCTTACAACCCAGTTCTGTGAAGGTTGTTTGTCCAAATGTACAAATTGGTTATGGCAATGACGACCTTGATACGATTTTCAATCATAGCTTGGTTTCATCGTCATATCTCCACAAGTTCCACATGCAAAGAAGGTAGTATGGAAGCAAAAGAGCTTAGAACCAGAAGCTACGGGGGGAACTATCTTAGGTTGCTGGGATTGTGCTTTTGAGTGGAACATGCTTACAGTTCTTGGAGGCGTTGGATAAGATGAGGGGAACCCCCTTACATAGGCCTCCACCTCCTCAATAGACAGTTGAGATTGATCTAATTTTACGGCTAGCAATAGCATCTAAAGAAATCAAGTAAAATATATAGATATTTACATAGGAACATTCTACACATTAAGGGGCGTAACGTTATAGAGAGGCTTCCAGAGTTCTCACCATGGTACTTGAAGTCTCTTGAGTCGTGTAGAAGACTCTGGCATCTCTGGATAACTGACTTTAAGTCGGCGGGTCGTTTCATTGGGCACTAAGCTTGGAAACAAGTGGCTTGAGGTACTATGTTGCTTTGCAGCAGCTTCTTTGGTGTTGTTCACTAGGTTCATAGTCACTTGAAGTAATATTCCGTAGGTTTGTGTATAATCTTCAAGGCATTGCGTTCAACTTTGAACTGGGTATTTAACATCTTTGTCTACAGCGGTACAGCCTGCCAAACGCCAATTATACAATTTGATCAATTGATGCATTCAAGTTTTTTCATGCTAGTAATATGCTCCCTCTATGTATGACTTGAGCAATAGGCTAAAGATGTTTTCCAATAGTTGTCAAGTGCCTTAAATACCATTTAATAAAGAAAAAAACAAGGCGATTTTTGGATCCAATTCATCACCATCAATTTATAATTGTTTGTATGATGATGGAGAAATATGTAATGTTAATATGAAAAATGTTGCAATTTTCATGTGACATCCTAAAAAAGAAAGTCTTACAGTTTTGTAGGGCAGAAATAGAGTAGTTTATTTGATTTATAGATGTTTACAATCTGGTGTTGAGGGTATTCTCTATTTTTTGACGTCTTAGGGGCTGTTTACCAACACTAACCGGGTAAGAGCTTACCAGTAAGAGTAACCGCCCTCACTTACCTTACAGGATGAGCATGTCAAGGACCTAGAATCTTACCCGGTAAGTGAGGTGGTGACTCTTACCCGTTAGCACTTACCGGGAAGAGATGCTTATCAACAATCTTACGGTGTCATTTTTCTGACCAAGAATCTTACTGGTAAGGTAAGTGAGGCTGGTGACTTTTACCCACTTAGCGTTGGTAAACGGCCCCTTAGCCTCGAGATGCCACAGTTTGCTTTGTTACTGTTACTCCCCTGTCCCAGCCAAAGTAATTGCAAATTAACCTTATTTGGCAAAATTTCAAGGTGAAATCAAAATTTCTGCCATAGGAATCTTTACAACACAAATCCGTTGATTTTGTTTCACGGGATTTAAGTTCTTCTTCTTTTGACTATCGATGATTATCTTTAGACATTTAATTGATATTCTAATAAGGATATTATATTATATGCCAAGTCAAATGTTGCATTCTTAGTTGCATATATAACGTGTGCAAGGGAACTTTTGGAGCTGATGCAAGCTGGAACACTGGAGCCTGAAGTAGCCCTTCTCAATGCATCTCTTGTAGGTGTACTTTAATGAGCCCCTCGTATGACCCTTGAATGTTTCTTTTCTAATACTTGTTCCTTAAAACATCGTTTAGATCCCAGATATCTTCCCTGTTCTAGCAGCTGCTCATAAAACACTCGTATCTAAATCAAGGGATTCACTGACAACTCGTACTCTCCACTCCGAGCTTGTTTATAACTACTCGGGCTCTAAACATGTAACAACTCTTTCACTATACATTGATTTTTATTTTTATTTTTATTTTTTTTGCTCCGAGGTTTTTGAAACTATATTTTTACATACATTCTTTCTATAGATATCTGAATCGTTAAAAAGGTGTGGTATATCTGATGTCACCGCATACGTGCTTGCTGCTCGTTTTGGTGCTTCTGACGAAGAGGTGAGGTCATCTTCTCATAAACGACCTTTTGTGAATTTATTCCTGATTAATATGGGATCGTGTAGATGATTGCTATGAAGGCGCTTATCAAAGGCAATGAAATTGATTTAGATGAGTTGGAAGGAAGAGCAAACAAACCTCAAATACTAAAGGTTCAATAGGATCTTATTTTCTTTCATTTAGTTAATGCTATGTTTTTATGCAACACTCATTCAAACCAAATACTTTCATTGTTTGATTTCATATACCATATTTTTACCGATTGTTTCATGTTCACCAGCACTACAAAATAACTGGGGTAGAACTCGGTGTATCAACCCTTGGAGATGCTATAACGTGTCGAATTGCAGCCCGTGATGCTTTGTGAAGCTATCCCATCTGGTAATTCTTGATCTTTTCCGAATTTAGCCCATTATATCTGCAATCATCCAATTTGTGACCAGTTGGGTGAATGTTTAAGTTTTTCGTCCTCTTGGATTTGTTTTTCAGGTTCGTTCTAAAAAACAACGACTTAGCGCAACGATTAAGTCGTAGCGTATTCTGGTAAGATGACCACAGTTTTGTATTTGAAAAATATTTGGTATTTGTCTGTGGAGTGATCGATAATACTTGATTACTTCTTGATTTTTCATATCGAACCCTTGATGAGCTTGAAACATTAAGTGCATAATCGCTTCTAGCATGACCCACGAAATCTCTGGTGGCGTACTCATGAATTATTTTGAGCGGGTGCACTTTTTCCGGGTTTTCAGTTTTGTTTCCTGAAGAGCATTTCAAACGGCTTTTTTTATAGTTTTTCTAAAATAGAGAACCAGAACATAAGTTTTCTAAAAGGAATTAGATTCTTTATTTAGAGATTTAAGATAAATTATTATTATAATATTTTCTAATTTATCATCCCAAAACACTTTAAAAAAAATTATAAAAAAATAATAATTAAATCTCATTAATGGAATCAAATAAAATAACCATTTTCTCATTATTTAAAGTTTTTTCCGTTATTTTTTATTTTAAAAAACTAGGTAGCAAAGTTGTTGGAGCATTTCATATTATAAAACATTCATTTTGGATAATATACTTTTAAGACATTCATTTTGGTACTTCAAAAGTAAAATCTCAAACATTTATGTATTTAAGTTAATCATTAACAGGTTATTAATGCTAACGAGTCAAATGACATGATATACAATTCAATATTATTTTTGGACGTGACTGATGATATGGACTTTATGTTATATATAAATATTTTTTATTATAATTTTTATAATTTAACAAATTTATGGATAATATATTTTGCAAATTCAAGTTTAACAAGAAAAAAAAACCATAAAAGTATAAAGATTGTAAAACTTCTTTTTATCTCTACTATATTATAAAACATTTGATAAAAAGTCTTAAAAAACATGTTTTATGCTTAAAGTACTATTTATTGATACATATTATTTAAAATTCAATATTATAATTAAATTGTATGTAAGTACAACTTGTTAAAACTTCATGTTTGAATTCTTGTAACTAACAACAAGTAAACATAATCAAATAAGGATAAACATATCAACTTAAATATATAAAAAAAACTAAAATATAATTAAGATAATCATTAAGTTATAACAGAATACTTCATTATTGTTTTTATAAAAATTTGTATTATTAAACCAAAAATAAATTACTTCCCTATTAAGTCTAAATTAAATTATAATAAAAAAATTGAATTAAAAAAAAATTATAAAAAATGAGAGCATTTAAATAGTTGATTTGATACTAATTTCTACATTTTTTTTTTCATTTTTTTAAAGATATCTTCAAGTTTATATCTTCTTCAAAATGGATTCAAGAGAAAAAAAGGGCGGGCTTCCGACAACGTGGAATCTGGTGTCAGCTCGTGTTGTGAGATGTTTGGTCAAGTCCTATAACGAGCGAACCCCTCGTTTTGTGTTGCTGAGACTTCCTAAGCATACTGAGAAAGAATTAGCTGAGTTSTCACCAATGGGCATTCTAGCTGCAGCCCCGATTGTAGGAAGCCCACTATACGTCGCTTTTTCAAAACCATATAGAACCGTTTTATAACATCTACATAAAACAAAAAATAAGACAAAACATTAAAATCGAGACGTATCTTGTTGCATTACGCGAGTACCCTTCTGGTATATCAAAGAACATGAAGAACACATCCTTCAACCTAAAACATGAACATGAAGAACATATCCTTCAACCTAAAACATGAACAACATCTTTTAACAATCATCCCATAAAATCTTAGAACAAATATAACAAGGAAAAATCAAAAGAAAATGATTCATATGCCATAAACAAAGAACGAGCATCAACAAACAACTACATTAACAACTTAGCAATTTATGGTTCATATAAAAAAAAAAAACCCGACAATCGTCTATAAATCCAATAATTTTATTGTATCGTGTCAAAAAAAAAATACAAAATCACAAATAAAAACCCTTAAATCAAAATTCTGATTGTGTAAGAACGCTAATACCCTATAACTACAAGTTTGATTAAACAATGGTTTTCTCAATACTCTGATATCAAAAAATAGAAAAAGAAGATGAAAACCCTAAAGTCACGATTCGGATATGTGTTATTCATGATTAATGTTATCTTAAATTGGAGAATCGACAACAGAAGATGGTTAAAAGAGTCCGTCATGGGCATCTTATGATAACGTTGGATCAATTGGCATTGGATCAGTTGGATTCTTTTTATTTAATTTTAAAAAGATTATATATTTTTTTTCCAAAAAAAAAAGTGACATGGATTTTTTTTGCTTAGTTGGAATTTTAAAAAATAAAAAATTAAACCCATATCAACAAAAACCTGATCTAATCAGCATTTTCATGTCATTAGGTAAAACATATGCCTAAATGTTTGAGATTTACTTTTTTCAAGTACCAAAGTTAATGTTTTAAAAGTTTCTCAAAATAGAAATTAGAGCAAAATATATTACATTTTCATACAATTTGCCCTATTGAAAAAATCATAACAATAACATTTAAAAAGTAAAAAAATTAAATAGTTCGTGCCAGAGAGGATCAAACCTATGACCTCTTGATAGGAGAGGCTTTATCCGGGATACAACAACCAACTCACTTAATTCAGATTCTTGTTATAAATTTGATTTCTAAATTAATCAAATTATAAATTATATTATTATTAAATTAAAATAAAGAGTTATATATATTGTATATTTATTAACTAAAGAATAATTAAAAATGTTTCACTGAGGACCACTTTTGAAAGTACAGGTGAATTGCAAGTGTATGAATAGTAATTACAAAACTGATATCCCACAATTGAAAGTAAAAAATGAATTGCATGTATACGGATGGTCTTAAAGACACATGAAAATTTCTAAGTCTAGAGATTCATATTTTGGACCGGTTACAAGAAGGATCCTGCCTAGACCTAGCGTCGCTTGTAGGACTTATTATGCCCATTTTGTGAGATAAAGAGCGGTTAAGGACCGGTTCTCAAAATAATTGAATAACACCAAACAAGAAACACCGGTTAGGATTGATCAAATATTGAAAACGACCGTGACTGTCCAATTAGTTTTTTGAAGTCTTTTTTTTTTTTTGGGGTTTTTTCAACTTGTAAATGACTTTTCCCCCCCTCATAATGGATGGTTTAAAAGGCCTTTTGGAAATGTTATTTGTTGTAATTTAGTGTGGATAAGGAGTGTATGTAGTATGTATGTTTACATATTCATCTGGAACTCTTTTATTTTAGGCATTATTTAGCAAAAATAATATAATATATGTGTTTCGTTAACTCGTACAAATTGGGTTAAGAAAATTTTGGTAGAATTATGCATAATATATTTGTACCCTATGCTTAACCAATTTGTACCCTAGACTAGTTTTACGTCAAAATGTGTTTATACATATATTGACGTAAAGTTGGAATTTAACTTGAAAGGTAAAAACCGTCAAATAGTTAAACTTTATATATATATATATATTATATATTATATATTATATTATATATATATATATATTATATATGAGGCGGTTAGTGTTTTTTTTTTTTTTTTTTTTAAAAAATTAAAATTAAATTATATATATATACATCACCGCCATTCTCACCCTCATATCTCTCTCCCATTCTCTCTCAACTCTCTCTCTCACTTCTTTCTCTCTCTCTACAATTCTCTCTCGTCTTCTCTCTAGATTTTACGWCAAGTTAGTAAGGGGATCGAGGCAACAATTATATATTCGGAATCCACTCTTCGTACCCTTCTTAAAGGTATAAGTTTTATTTAGTTTCATTAATGTGTTTATTTTAGGATTATTTAGACCGGTTTATAAAC